ACCATCGGTCGTGTTTGTAATTGAGCTCGCATTATCGTCTTGTTCTTGGGCAGATCCTGCAACGTCGCTCGGTAATACAGCCGTCTCCGCGGTCACGGTAGAAGATTCTTCAACAGCATCAACGCCAGCCTCATCAGCAGCTTCATGGCCGGCTACTTCGACCACGGGTGCAGCAATATTGACAGCTGCACTAGTCTCGGACTCAGTAGTCGACTCGTTGCTAGCCTCACTTTCGCTGTCAGTTTCGCTCATTGGATCCTCAGAATTGACTGTTCCTTCCTGAGCATCAGTTGCCGCTGGTGCTGGCTCAGCTGCAGGTTCGTCCTTCTTTGCTCCATCACTTGACTTCACAACAGCGGTTTCTACGGGCTCGGTGGAGGTCGCTGCGGTACCTGTAGCATCAGGTTTGGATGCCTCGCTTGAGACAGAAGATGCAGTATCGTTTGGATCCTGATCCGCGCTAGATGATGCCGGGTCTGACGCTTGTGATGCGGACGGTTCAGGCATGTCTTGGGACGCTTGGTCGTCGCCCTGAGGAGATTCGGATGTAGCAACTGAGTCACGTCAGCTGCGGCTTTGCGACAATGTCGACGCGCAAGGCGCGCTTGATCACATAGCAGGTGGAGTCTGCGGTTCGGGGCAACGGAGGGAAAATCGAAAAACGCGACAAGCAACACTGGTAGCGAAGGCTTCAACGCCACCACCGTCGCTGCTGGAACCACGTATGTTGCACAGTCTGGTTCATTCGCAGATGCACTGCAGCCCGAATAATGGCTCAACATGATTGCACGTGGTGATAAGCCAACTGATGATGTCGAATGCGGGGCAGCCAATCAGAGGCCGCCAGCATGCTGGAGGGTGCGCAGTGATGCAGGCTCCATCACTTCGTCATACTTAATCACCATACATTTGCGATTGAGAAAGAGTGGAAATAATGCTGAAGCGGTGGAAAAGAGAACGTACCTGGCGCCGGTGTAGCTCCTTCTTGAACCTCTACTGGCTCATCAGGCTCAACGGAGACTGCCGCATTTTGTGTCTCAGCCTGTGCTGGACCTTCGTCGCTCAATACTTCTGACTCCGTCTTTTTGGAGGATTCATCATCAGCTGTGACGGGGGCACTCTGCTCAAATTTGGTCTCAGAGATCTCTGAAGGCTCGTCTGCATCGCTGTCCCACTCGTTGTGGCTCTCCTCGTCGCTGTCGTGATCGTCATTTTCGATGGCTTGTGAAGGTGCAGGTGTGAATGCTGATTCGGCAGAGGTTGTGTCTGCCTCTGGGAGTGCATTTGAAGGATCCGTAGATACAGCGGTAAGGGCCACTTCTTCTTCGTCAGGTTGTTCGGTAACATCAGCCACGGCTGGGTCCATGCTCTTGCCGTCGCTATCGTCAGGCGCATCTGCTGCAGACACTCCTTGCGGCGGCGGCGTGTCTTTGGTGGTTGCATTCATCATCTCTTCTTCATTCGTTGCTAGCGTCACGTCCTCTGGCGGCACATGGTCGTTTCTAGTTTCTGACGGGCTACCCGCAGCCGGAGCTGGTGGCGATGCGATGATTTCGGCGTCCATAGGCGTTGCATCCTCGATAGTGGAGTTTTCATTCTGTTCAGACTCGACAGAGGTCGCCTCGCTTTCGACAAAGCTTACGTCGGTGCTTTCGGAAGTGGAAGGGTCCTCGTCATCTTCACCTGCGGCCTCACTTTCGCTCGCTTCCGCTGGGTGCTCAACGATTGCATCTGCAACAGTATCGGTGGCAACAACCTCGGGGGTAGCCTCTGCTTCCTCTGCAGATGCTACCCCTACAGCTTCTGTAGATTCAGGGCTGATAGTATCGTTTTTCGGAGTCAGTTCAAGAGTGGGCGCCGACTCCGTATCAGCAGATGGTGACTGATCGTCCTTGGCGTCCTCTATCGACGACTCCTTTGCGGTCTCGCCTGGGGATGCTTTCAGTTCTACCAGTATTGGGTCTGTGCCTGGTGATTCCTCCGCAGCTGGTTCTGTAGGTGCAGGACCGGCCTCGTCTGCGGTTCCCGTAGTTGACGGGAGTTCTCCGACGTTCGTGACAGCTTCGGCTGCGGGGGTTTCTTCAACTGTAGGTGTATCTTCAACTGCAGATACCTCTTCGATCGCAGATGTGTCTCCATCCGTGGAATGGTCGACCGCAGGTACCGCTTCTACGGCAGGCGCCTCTTCAGCGACAGATGTCTCCTCAGCAGCATCAACCGCAGTCGCTGCAACAGCTGGCGGCACCTCTTCAGTCTTGGCTATCTCTTCAACCACAGGGGTCTCTTCCACTGGAGGAGGATCATTCGACGCTTCGACTTCAGCTGGTTCTTCCACCGCGAGCGTTTCTGAGACTGCAGGCGGCTCTTTGGTGGGAGGCTCGACACCAGGTGCCCGTGGCTCTTCCACAGTAGGCTCTGCGCTGGAGACAGGGGCTATTTCGGTGGCGGGCTCGGCGAGTGCGACTTGTTCGGTTGACGGTACCTCTGCTTTGACAGGCTCTGCGTCAGTGAGGGACTCAGCCTCGGTCTCGATCGTCTCTGTCGCAACTGGAACACTCTCCACAGCTTCACCAGCTCTGGCAGGCGCGTCTGTAGCGACAGGCTCTTCGGTAGCCGACTCCGCAAGGACTGCATCTAGCGCTGTGGCAGGCTCTGACTCCGCTGAAGGTACATCTTCGATAGCCGGCTCGGGCGTCTCGGCAGAGTCTGCGGTAACGACGCTTCGTGCAGCCTCAGACGGTACCTCTTCTTCCCCTGTAATCGCTCTATCCTCGACTTGAGAAGTGGGGTCCTCGTTACTTTCCTGCCTGCCCTTCTTGTCGTGCTTCTTGCGCTTGCGCTCTTCCGCCTTACTGGTCTTCTTCTTAGACGAGCTGGAATGCTCATCCTTGGAGGACGCGTGTTTGTCGTCTTTCGGAATTGATGGAATTGCCAGGAATGAGCCACGGCGTTCTTTCTTCTTCGTTTTATCCGGCTTCTTCTCATCCTTGGGCGATGGCGGCGATGGCGGCGGTGCTGGGTCTCTAATGCGAACAAATGCGTTAGGTTTGCCTTTCCCAATGACCTTCAGTTTCCTCTTGTCATCTTTCTTCTTCTTGCCGATGCTTGCAGAGTCTGTTTCTTTCGTGTCAGGAGCAAAACGTACAGACTTCTCTTCGTGAGGTTTAGGGGACTCGGGCTCTTGAGCTGCCTGCTCGGACTCACCACTCTTCTCACCATCGTCGACAACGGATACTGGCGCAACGTCTCCAGGTGGAGCGGGCGGCGGAGGCGGGGGCGGGGGCGCCGGTTCGCTTTCTGGTGCTGTTTCGGCCGCTGGTTCCGCACGGCTTTCCTCGATAGACGGCGCCTCGAATGGGACCTCGACAACAGGGACTTCTGTGCCTTCCGATTCTTCTGGCTTTGGCTCATCCTGGGCAGTGGGCACTTGTTCTGCTGGGGCGGCTGGCGGTTCGTCCTCGACGTCAGCAACAGCGGGCTCAGCTTCAGCTTCGGGAACTTCACTACTCGAGGGAGCCTCATCTGCTGGTGCGCTTGGAACAGGATCTGCTGGCGGCGCCTCGGCTGGAGGTGATTCTTTCTTCGCTGGTGCCGAGGGTTCCTCGGTCCCTGCAGCAGGCAGTTCTGGTGCTTCGGGCAGTGCACCTGACATGAGAGGTGTACCTCCTTCGTCTGAGCTAGGTTAAGGGAGAATGTATGAGGATAAGACTGATCATACCAGATCCTTCGCCTTCCTCACTCTCACGTTCTCCATATCCATAGCCGGCACCAGGGTATCTGTACGAGTAGGACGTTGTCGGCGTCAATCGCCTGACGGCCGGCTGCTGTGTAGTGGTTTTGTAGTAGGCTGAGCCTCCTGTGCTGGCGCCCGTGTATGGATTGATCCATGGCGAGTAGGAAACGGTAAACCCGGGCCCGGCCATGGTCGGACAGACCGGCTAGCGCAATCTCTCAAGATCCAAAGATTCGACAAGTACAAGTTGTGCTACGTGCTATATTTGATATCTTCTCCGATGCATTGCGGTGTAAAGCAAGCGGCAAATACGGAATGGCGACATGAGATGTGGGGTGAGTAGATCAGACTGCGGAGAGACAAATAGAAAGCGGATCACTTGTAGCAGCACCACGAATTTGTGGAGGCGCGTTGTGCGTGGCTCGAAGGCAGTAATTTGAAACAGAGCGCTCCAATTGACGAAGCAGAGGTGCAGGACAACGTCACAGGACAGGTTCCGGTAAGAAGCTGAGATATGCAACCAAATGTCGCGCAAGTTGTCGAAATTCAAAGTGGCCTGCCACCCTAGCCAGCCTCACGCTGGCAGCACACGGACGCATGTTGGGAAGACGAGCTTGGCCTGTGCTTGCGATTGGACCACGTAGGAACGTATCGTTCGCTGAACTTGAGAGAATTTGAGCCCGAGAGGTGGGTTCATTCGTCGGAGAGAGGCCTCAATTGGCCGAGGCCTGCTTAGCTGCCTGAGGATGCAGAAACATCGCCAACACGAATCGTGATGCAGCGTCTGCTGTAACCCACGGCGAATTTGGGCGCGGCCAGCGGACGGTTGCGCGTGTGGAGATGTGGACTTGTCGACCAATGTAGCGAGCCACCGGAGCTCCATATTGGCAGCCCAAAGAACAGTGGCGATGCAGGGACGCGCAGAGAAATGCGACGGCTAGAAGCTAAAGGGCGATGGTGTTGATGGAGAAGTGTGACGTGTTATGTGGGCGCGCCGCACTAGGCGCTGCATACAGCTAGCACTGGGTGTCCTCGATTCATCTATCGAGGCATCGACGAGGGCCTTCCCGCCGAGTCGTTTCGTTCTACCACCTGTCTGCTGCACGACGTGGGACAATGAGGGAGCAGGTGCCCGCTGACACACCCGGACACTTGCCTGTGCAACGACACTGATCAATCGTAGGCGGTGCTGGGATTTATGGCACTGCTGTGATCTTTCTCATCTCGACTGTCGTGTCGATGACGTGCAGCCCGTGATTGCGGCGTGGGATATCGCAGCGGCTATCGAGGGTAAACTGGGAGGTTTCGTGAGCGAATACTGAGTGAGTACGTGTCCAGCCATGATTGCATAAGTTACAACATCGCCACGGCGAAGACCTGCGATGTTGCCCAACGTTCCGGAGATAGCGAGTGCAGTCGATTTCTCGGCGAATGGTGGAGTTCAGTTGATTGAGACCATCTGAGCTATGTATGTTTTACATGAGGGGATCCCGGCTCTTGAAATGGTGGTATCAAGGAGTGCTGACTTGATCCGCACACAATCCCGATGTTCCACGTCTAGCTCCTCCATACTCTTTCTGCTGTTAGATCCTGTCGCTTTGCTGGCTTTGCTGGCTTTGGATGCTTCGACCCTTCAGCTGCCTCGTTGAAACCTTGACTGCGGAATGACTCTCGAAGGTTCCCCAACACTTTCCTTACACCCGCGCTGCCCTGTTCCCCCACTTTCCTCGTTATTGTAGTTTTCTTCTGTTGTACTTTCACCTCTAGCTTCGAGAAGTCGTTAATCAAGCAAAGACTGGCGTTCTGCCATGCATCGGCAACACACGACCCGCAATGCTCGCCCCTCTTATGACTCGGCCTGCTGATGTTGTTCATGCCGACGTAGATCCTGTTCTCTCTCGGTGTTGGACGACCGAGGGCACACCAGGAGTAGTAGTGCATCGTCGGTATTGTGCCCTCTGCTGGGTGGAGCCATATCGCTGGTGTGTCGTTGTCAACATCCCACTTGACCAGTCTGACAGCAGCGTTCCTTGATTTCGAAGATGGGTTGAAGCTATTGGGGGCACTCATCACAGCATCTAGAGCCTGGGATCGTGCGTGTGGGTTCTTCGCGTGTCTCTTGAGGATGGCGTGAAGCACAGTCGCTTCGACATGGCCAGCAGACGGCTTGCTCGACATCATGTCGATTTTTGGGAAGAGTTTCCTGAGCTCCACTTTGTTCAACCAGGCGTTGCAGCCTATCCTGCGTTATTCCCGGGCTTCAGAGCACCAAAGGCGGCAGTTTTTCGAGATATCGAGGGACATTCCTATGAAGATCACATACTGTCAAGTGTTGAATTGGAGTGTCAGGAATTTCGTGTACCACGCAGAGAAGAACTGTGAATGCGATATCACTGTTAGCCACTCATGGACGCCCTGTGCAGACACCGCCCCTCGAGCCATGGTTGACCGACCCAACATCAATCATCAACCAGAAATCTTGCCGCAGGGTCCAATGCACTCAGTCATCACTCGAGAATCTCTCTCAGCTGTCGCAGCTGCCAGGGTCGGCGCCAGTTCGTCTAGCGTTGTGGTGGTGATGAGCAGGAAGGGCACGATGCTTGACCGCGTTATATTTTCCTCTCCCCAGCTACCGTCCTCTCTCACCTCTCACTTACCGCAGCCATGAGTGTACCCGCAGCCACACAAGCAGATGCTGAATTCATCATAAAACCCCTTACGTTTCTTAGACCCTTGACTAGCTCTAATGGCCCTCTAGGCACCACTGACAGACAGCTGCAGCTCAATGGGCTGACTACACGGCCACCGCAGCACTGAAATGTGCTCTGGATGAGAAGCTGCGAATGTCCCACGATCAAATCAGCGCGGGCGCTCAGCGACCCCTCGAAGGACTCCAGTCAAACCACGGGCTTCACCAAGTATGGTTCAAAAGCCTCTTACAGGTCCTACGTCTGCCCCCCGCGCTGCCTGGGTCAACCCCAGCGGTTTCAACGCCGCCAACCATCAGGAGCGTGAGTGGACCAACACTCATACAATTAGCTGAATGCCTCCACGGTGAGCTGTGCAGTCTCCGAGGCTGTCAAATATCGACCAGCATGGAATATTTCAAATGTGGTCAGCAAATATAGTCAGTAAATATAGTTGTAGATCGTCAATGAAGCACGAACCAGTCCACACCCACCGTCCACTTCTCTCCACCCACATCGAGTTCCCAGGTCGGCGCTCTGATACCAACGATACTTCCTATCCTGATCTTGACTCCAGCAGAGCCCCTCGATCCTCCATGTCCAGCTAGTAGAACCCTCATTCCCTGCCCCACTTCCAAGCTCTCCGCTCTCGACGCATCATACATGCCCGTCTCCGTCTCTCCCACCACAAACGTCGTACCTCCCAGCCAGCACTCGAGCGCTTCTACATCGCCCCCTCCTAGTTCCGAGACCCTGATCTTCACCCTCACCCCATCCTCCCGTTCCCTTCCCCAGACTATTCCCGCTCCCGGCCCCTGTTGCGCAGTCTCTATTATCCAGGCTTGCACGCTGGACGCGAGGCCGTTGGAGAGGTATTTCTGTGCCTTTCGCGAGGGGGAGAATATCTCTGGGAGCGGAGTGCAGGGTTTGCTGGGCGAGCGCGGGACGGGGAGGAGGAAGTGTGGTCGTGTTGTCGTTGGAGTACTCCCGCTAGTCACGGAGGTCATATTCATGGTCACACTTGCGGGCGGCATGTGCAAGGTAGTGTTCGGACAGAAGGGGAGCGGTGTCTGTGCTGCTGGAAGCCTGAAGCGGTGCGATGCAATGCCCAATGGCATTTGTGGGGCTAGATGCTGCTGGGGAGGTGACGAAGGTGATGTGCGTCTCCTCTTCGCTCTCTGCACACTCTCGAAGAGTAGCTCGTCCTCGTCTTCGCTGTCTTCTCCGCCATCTTCCTCTTCTGAAGCAAGCTGCTCGATGCTCTGTACAACACCAGATGCACCAAATTCATCCGCGGCCCGCGATGGACTCGATACGCTCTCCTCAATACTCTCTACCCTCTCGTATTTCCTCGCTTTAGGCCGCGGCGTCACGTCGTACTCTGGCAAGCTTGAGCTGGGTGACTCGACACGGTCTGACGCGTGAGGCGCCACGGATATGCCGGAGATACCATCGTCTGCATGTGCTCGCGCTGGCGCAGCCACAAATCGTTTCGCAGGCGTGATCTTCTTGAATTGCAACTCGGGAGTATGCGCAATGATCGCATGACGTAGATTCGATTTCGGCTTCTGTTTGGGTGTTTGTGTTGGAGGTGCAGGCGCTATGAAGCGGTGAGGTGACGGCTTCTGTAGCGGCATTGTGAGCGCGACATTGGTGTGTGGGGGACCAAGTGCGGCGGGCGACGCGTCGGCATGGTGGCGTTGGGAGGGTGGGGAAATGGACGGCGCGATGGAGCGGGAAGGAACGCGTTGGCATGTTGGCGCTAATGACGTGACGTCAGATATCGAAGCTGCGCTGAATGCTCCGAACGAGGTTGATTACTTTCTATACATTGAGTTCCTCCAGAAATCCGACCATCAATCAGAATTTGACACGAACACCGGCTCCAAGGACTCAGCGGTATCACAAGCACCATGGAGCTCCAGGTCCACACACCATCGCATGCTTACCATTGTACCTCTACTTACAATCTTCCATGAACCGTTTATCGAAGCTAAGCTTCGTCGCGACCGTCCACCATAAACACGCGTCGGTACATGACTGAAGCCAGCCGGATTCTGCAGCGACGTGGCTCGCGCCACATCAAGCTCTTCTGGCATGGTCCTATCCCCGGTGACTAGCGACGTCGTTGAGCTGTTCGAACATGTCCGCGTACTTGTCGATCCTTGGCAACTTCAGCACGGTCAACCATTGCATTCCCTCGTGGGTGCCGTCGCGGGCTTCCTTGAGAACGTCTTGCTCCACCTCCATGTCGTCAACTCGGGCCATCAGGTCATCATGTCCCTTGGCCCACTCCGACCGCTGCAGCTTCTGGCGCTGGAGCTCGTCGTCCAGATCTCGAGATACCTGTTTCAGTCAATAATCTCCTGGAATCTCCTGGAATCTCCTGGTCCTTCGAGTTCTGCAACCCTGGCAAAGATAACCTACAACCTGCTAAGATGTGCCACCGTCGCTGTCTGCCAAGGTGAGCAGGTTCATCCTGGAGCTAGCGGCAGTACGCCTAGTCAAATCCGTGACTGCAACTCGACTGCTGTAGGCCTTTGGGCGGAATGATGTCCTCTTAATCGAAGGCACTACCTAGGGATGCCGGCGCTGTAGGTCTGAGAAGTAAGCTCACATACTAGGTGAGGCGGAGGTGAGGATGAAACTTTCCTCTTCGGCGGACTATGGAGGTTTTCATAGAACGTCTTGTGGAGATTTAGACTAGTTCTTCGAGACAGACTCGCAACGCGCGCGCGGTCGTTAATCATGTTCTTAGCCGCCGCATTGAGTTCATATTACATTTGGCCATTTTTTGCTACAACAGTTCAGAATCCCTTTCGCGGTGATCGGCAATCTCTTTCACCAGGCGTTGGATGTGGCAGTCGCATTTTGCGGGTTGTTCAGGCGTAGCGAGCTCGTGATCAGCATCAGGACCGACAGAATCAAGAACCTAGCAGACAGCGGGCTTAAGATCGCCCATCATGCCAGGCCGGAAGAAACTGGATGATTATCATTATTTCCCATCTGTTACGTACCTGTCCAACATCCCAATGCTAACCATAATCTGATAACGCCACGCCATGCAATTGCGAACAGGATATCGCGAAGTTGCTTTTCATGCACAATTGTGTCATAACGCCGTGTCAGCCGTAATATGTCCTTTCCACAGCATCAATTCTCTCGTCAAGAAGAGTCTTCACTCTCCTCCGCGATGCTGTACATCCCACTGCTCGTGTCGCTGCTCGATGGCCGTCTCCTCGGTCTTGGCCGTACCGGTAGAATCAGGTTCATAGGAGCTGGAAGATCCGGGTCCATATCCTACGTGGACCGTGTCTTCTTGATGATGAACACACCAACCTCGACGCCCTTCTTTGGACCTCCGCCAAGATACTCGCGCTTCGAGACGCCGTTCAGTACTTCCTCGATCAGGTGCGCACTCGTCATCTCAGTACTAGTGGGAAGTCGAGACGCCTTCCGGAAGTACTTCGTGACCACCTCACGGACCCTGGGCTTCTCCTGCTTAATCCACCAGTCGTCCGCCCATGCCGATCGCTCGAGCACCATCTCTTCCTTCGAGGCGTGGATCAGCTCGTAGGTCGCTTGCTGCTCGTTGATGCTCCTCCGACTCGAGCCACTGCCGTTCAACTTTGTACAGAACTGCTCGACGTGCGCCACCATTTGATCGTACTCGTCTAAGTAATCCACTGAGGTCATGGTGCCGAGATTCTTCCCGAGGTCGGATGTCAGGTCATGGATGATTGTCACCGTCCGCAGCAGCGGATCCAGAATTGGCCCAAGGTACTCCTTCATGAACGTCCGTCCACCGGTCCGCGTGGGATATACGAACAAAAGCGTCCCGTTGTCAGGCGAAAGCTCTACCAGCCGATCGTACAGCAGCGACCGCCCCTGGGAAGCAAACATCTCGGCGTACTCGTTGTAGTTAGTGGGAGGTATGTATCGCTCGACTAGCGAGATGTTGATGCTGCCTGGAGGGACGACCGGTTGCGGAGACGGGGGCAAGAGTTTCGAATCGAGCTGGTAGTCGGGGATGGCGACGGCGCTGTCAAAGACCTTCGAGGTGAAGTACTCTTCCCCGCCGATAACCGGACCTGGGGTCGAAGGCGGCGACTTCGGGAGATCAGAGAGCGTGAATCGACCAGGTACGGCATGGAAGACATTGATCCAGGAGGTCTGCGAGTTGGTCCTGTCGTGAATGGCTGCGATGACTTGACTGAACAGGTGACCCGTCAGCGACGGGCAGGGGAGGGCGTGCGACAGAACTCTGACTTGGGCGAGGTCTAGGGTGTCTGACTCGGTGGCTATAGGCAGTTAGCAAACGGGACGCGGGGGCGTGACAAGGGGTCTCACTGAGGATGTTCTTGATGTTCTGAACCCAAGATGCCATCCTAACCGCCTCGCTTAATTCAGCTGCGTAAGTCGGAACAACGATCGGAGCTTGCCCTGGCCCCGTCGCGCTTCCCGTGAGAGTCAGATTTGGCGATACTCCGGGCTCTGAGCTGGGTGGGGAGCCTGCACCCGCTGTCCTCACTCTCACGAGCGAGCCCCAATCGAACGTCCCCGGCTCCGACGGAGGAGTAAAGGTCGGCACCTGGTGTTCCACCTGCTTCCTGGTAGCCTTTGGGCTGGCGGCGGGAGGCCTGACGGACTTGTCAGCTTGACGGCGGAATTCCAACGGTGGGCTGAGGGCATGGAGAGGGTCTTCTGGTTTCGATAGTGGTCCGGCGCCCAGTGACGAGAACGAATACGTTGGGTGCAACGGGGGGCGATCAGGGTGGGGCGCAGCAATGCCTAGGATGTCAAACGAGGGCAAACGAAACTTGGGCGCGGTCCTGGGCAGCGTGGCAGAGGGCGGTGACACGTCAGTTGGCAGGAAGGTTCCAGCAAAGCTCAGGTCCAGGTGAGGGCAATGGTCCAGGGCGGGCGTCGCTAGAGGGTGGGGTGAGGCGGAAGGTAGCGGGAAGGGCTGTGGAAGAGAGGCATCGAAAAAGGAACATGCTGCATCCATGGGTACGTCGGCACGTCCTCTGGCTCCGAGAAAGGTAGCGCCTGTGCCCTCATCCGGTGTCGCAGGAATTGCAGGAGAGGTAAGTGCGGCTGTAGCGTACTGCTCCTGCGAGGCCATGGGTCTGGCGCCATCAGAAGGGAGCAGAGGGTCAGACATGTCCGGGGTGACAGTGACCTCGGTGGTTCTGCCGTTGGCGCTGTCGGATCGCAATCGTGGTCACGCTACTGTGGACGAGGAGGGTGACAAGGTAGAGGAGAAACGTGGCTGAAAGATGTGACAGCCGAATGGGTAAGGCCGTGACTCCACTCGCGCCTAGTCTGATCGATGCTAACGGCTGCTGAGGGGTGGAAGTATACGCCAAGACTGAAGGAGGGCAGCGGGGCGTGGCAGCGGAGAGCGTGAAGAGTCAAAGAGTCTGTGGTGTGACTAGCGGCAAACGAATGAACAGATCGCGCTGGCCCATGGGGAATGATGAGTGAGCGACTGTCTTGGGCACGAACGCGCAGAAACAGCGCACTGCGGAAGAGTGTGTGTTGTGCAGCTTGCTGCAGGAGGTGAATGGCGCGCGCCCGTTGGTCGCGGCTCGTACTGTAGTCGTTTTAGAAACAATGCGCCCGTGCACGAAAGGGTCTGCAGAAGGGCCAGACTCTGCCGCTGCACATCCTGACTTCGCAAAGTCAGGCCATGTTGCTCGATGTGGAGCGGCCGCCTCTGTCAACGTCGAGTGTCGAGTGCGAGCATGACTTGCTGCATCAATCTGTCTCTCGTGCATCGTTCACTGCCATCTTGAACGACACGTGGATCCTTGCTAATGCCGACGGACCAACGGCGAGTCACTGCGGAAGACCAGGCAAGATCCCTCGCTCATATATCTTCACTGGTACACTTGGTTGGAGACTCCTGTGACCTGAGCTTCGTACAGCTACCCGCACATGCAAGCGGTTGACTGCAGAGACTCCACCCTTCGCTGATCAGCTCGGCTCTGTGTCCCTACCACTCTGCTCAGCGTGCTAATCTTGATCTCACGATAACCACTTGTAGTCGTCCCGATTGTGTCTGCATCCGTCGAAGCGAGAGGCGTTCTTCGTGAGAGTGTGCAGCCTAAGCGTAGGTACTGCACGACCAAACCCCGGTCAATCACATCCTCCACGACCTACGGTGCTCCTGGAGTATCGTCGATTGAGATCTAGACCCACCGCTGAGGAACCTTGAGCTGCCTAGCGTTCACAATTGGTGGGTAGACAGGGCATCTGACAGCTTCCAGCACGGCATTTTCCAGTATCGGTACAGTGCGCCTTACCCGCAGTGGCATTCTTATCTGTCCGCCCTCCGTTTGCACAGCGGCAATTCGACATGCATGCCCCGCCGATGCAAATTGCATTCCGCGGCTCGACACTCGGTAGTAGGTACATGTTCGTTAGCTACTGAGCGATATGGTATTCGAAATTTCTATGCAGCCTCCTTGTGCGAGGTTGGCTGATGCATGGCTGCTGTGGCTGCAAACTTGTACTATTCTGGAGTTTCGCCTTACTGCAATAATGCTCGCGTGAATTTTGAAAACTAATCATCTGTGGAGGGCCGGAGTCTCCGCCTGTTCGACGGATGGAGGATCGAGTGGCTAGTTTTCGCGAGCAACCAACCCAAAACGAGGCTGCAACACCTTAGGGCATTCCTTTACGACTCGCTTCTGCATCTCGTGTCTATATATAGGTCCGCGTCGAGCTCGTGACGGACGTGCCCTTTTCCGAACATACCGAAAGTCCCTCAAAAGATGCCTCGTGGTGTTTCGAAATATCTCCGTGTAGACGTGGCTAGATTGGCCGGGCATTGCATCCGGACAGGTGTGGCCAATCATGACTTTGTAAGTACCGTAGATCACTTTCATTTTGAACTCGAGACTGTGGGTCTTGGCAGTCACACGCTAGCAAAAAACTGCCTCCTGCACGTTCCCGCGAGTGAACACCATTGCGCCCAATCAAACTCAGCCTCAGTAGTCGCAGCAACCCTTGGAAGTCTCATGTCCGTGATTGACTGAAGAGCTGTGTCGTGAAGCGTATACCCGAGAAAGGTAGGAAACATACAGGCAGTTGCTTTTCGTGACGGGGTGAATGTGGTCTTGCCAATGCCAAAGCTGTCACTTCATCATGACTCGAGTTGATTCGTTTTGAATACTGTGACATTGGCTTACGAGGTTCAGGAAAGTTTGAAGAAGCTCCAACGTCTACTCGGCTGAAGCGTGGAGTAAGTCAGATCATCCATAAACACCACACACCGCATCATGCACGTAAGTATCAGGCATGGCCATATCATGTACTCAAATATTTCTCGTCTGCGTCGTTGATGCGCCATATTTTCTTTTCGTCCACTTCAACCTACACTCACTGGTCCAGCACTCTCCTCGTTCAATGTCTCAATACCTCTGCCACCACTCACCATCTCGTCACAAAGTACAACCAAAGCTGACACCCGCAGATCAAAAACCCCCAAGCGGCATTGATAACAAATCACGAACTGCTGCTGCACCTACGGCAGGAAGAGTCCGAATATGCCGGCACAGATGGCACGGAGCGCGAGCGCAAAAAGCCCAAAGGGCTGGAGCACATGCTGCGCGACGGGCTTGCATATCTGCAGACGCCCGACTACAAAACCCTGGAGCTGACAGACGCACACCCCTCGCGGCCAATGACTCTGTACAAGGGGCAGCACTCGCTGTTCCGCGCGCTGGCGCCGCACTATCGACTGAACAAGGCCGAGTTCATCCAGATCTACAACTTGCGGCCCACAACGCAGGTCATGCTCGAGCTCATCATCGAGGAAGTACGGCTCCATTTCTCTCCTTTGACTTGATTGGAGTTTATGCTGACGATTCCAGGCCGGCACACGGTTCGAGGAGGCGCAGCTTACCGACATCCTCAACACCGTCCAGCGCGTGTTTGACGAAGAGGAGGCGAGTATCCCTCAGGGCGTGGAGGACCAGAAGCTGGACAAGATCGACAACAAGCTGCTGGGCGCTGCGAAGAAGAAAAAGAAGGTGAAGCGTCGGGTGCGCGAAGAGTAATGACAGTGATGAGCAGAGAGGGTTACCGGGCCAAGACAGCCAAAAGATTGTGGAGGCTTGAGCATCGTGTGCCACAATCAGCAAGGCGGACTGCGTCTCACAAGTCAATAGAACAATGGGTGAACTTTTGCAAAATTGTATGCATACGGCAGCGGGTATTCTTCCGCACCTCGTCCCCAATGCAATGCCATCGAATGATACATGAATCCAACCGTGCGCCACGCGCCCATATAGCACGACATGCTCGACGTCCAAGAAATAGAAGACAGATCGATCCCAAACGCCACCCATTTTCACATGGTCATACGTACAACAACGACATCGACGATGCACGCGTGAGTCTAGTCTTTGCTCTTCTTCTTCTTCTTCTTCTCAGTTGTGTCGTCGTTGTCGGATTTCCTCTTCTTCGAGTCCTTGGACTTCTTGGCTTCCTTTGCCGCCTTCTTTGCCTCCTTCTCTGCGCGCTTTGCGGCGCGCTCAGCTTTCCGTGCCTTCTTGGCCTCCTTCTCGGCCTTCTTTGCTGCCTTGTCACCGCCCTTGGACGCCTTGGTCTCCTCCTCAGACTCCTCGTCAGAGTCCTCGGCATCGTCGGCATCGGCGTCAGCCATGGTCTCGTCCTCATCGACCTCCTGCACCAGTTTCTTCGGCGTGGTGCCGTTGACCTTGTCAGACTTGGACTTCTTGGCGGCGGGCTCCTCGCCGGTAAGACCATCGGCGTCGGGGTTGTACTTGCGGGCCTCCTTGACGTCCCACTTCTGTCCAGAGCCGAGCGCAGTCGCGTTAGCGTTGGGGATGCTCTTGAGAGGCTTGCCCTCGAGCGCCCTCAGCCTCCTCTCAATGCCGAGACGGGCGTCGCGACCGATCTGTGACTTCTCCTCCTCGGTGGGCTCAGCACCCTTGTCCTCAGAGGTAATACCCCACGAGCTGAGAGCATCGACACGGAGACCAAGAGCGGACTTGGCAGCGAGCATACGAGCGATCTTTCCCTTATTCTTGCCAGTTGCCTGGCCAATGAGGGAGGCGTGATAGATGAGCTAGAAGATGTTAGAATGGAGAGGAGCGAATCGTGGCGCGTAGGTTTACTTACACCGTACTTGGGGGTGTCGTGCTTGGTCTTGAGTGCACGGAACAGCGCCTTCTCGGCACCGAGAATCTGGATGGTGGAACCGGGCGACTTGGCGAGGTTCATCAAGGAACCAGCGTGGGCGATCAGGCGGGCACCGACAAGCTCACCGACGAGCGCTGTCAGGTTGGGCGCTAGGGCCTGCATACGAGAGGAGAGGTATGCGCCGAGGTTCTGACGGTGCTCGGTGAGGTCAACAACCTGCTCGGCGAGAGCGCTGGTAGCCTCCAGGTCCTCCTCAGAGATTTCGGTACCCATGGAGATCTCAGCGGCAGCCTTGACGGCAGCCTCAATCTCCTCAGGCAGAATACCAGACAGATCGGCGTCCTTTGAGTTTGTGCGGAAACCCATCTTCAGGACGACCTTGGAGTAGGCGAGGTTGTCGTTCAGGATCCTGGCAAGCTCGGGGAAGTGCCATCCGTACCATTCCTTCACGCGCATGGCGTATGTGTTAAGCTGCTTGTCGAGGACGTCGAGACTGGCAATCGACTGGATGATCATGGTGTCGACTTTGTCGGGCGAGAACTTGAGCTTGTGGCGGGAGAGCGAGTGCGCAAGACCGAGGCGGGTCGAGTTCATCTCAGCGGGGACCAGATCGGGGATGAGCGAGACCATGTGCTCGCGGATGGCGCGGTAGACATCCTGGGTAGAGGAGTCAGAGATGGGCTTGATGGACAGGCCGGGGATCTGGGCGATGGAGTTGGCGAGCTTAGGATCAGCGACAGCCACTGCGCATGGTTAGCACTCCACAAGACCTCCAAATTGAGTCGCAATAGCGTACGCGATGCCTTGGTCTCGTCCTTGAGCTCCTGCAGCAGGTTGCCGAGCATGGAGCTGACCTTGCCGTCGGTGAGGGCCGCGGCTTCGTTGAGCGCAGTGACGGCGCTGTCGAACTTGGTGAACTTCTTCAGCTTCAGCGACTCGACGACGGTCGAGACATCCTTGCTGAGCTCATCACCCTTGCTGAGCAGCTTCTTGTCCTTGGACTTGAACAGAGCATAACCCGCGCTGCAATTGCGTTAGTCTCTCGTGCTGCAGCTTCTGTGCGCTCGCGGCAGCCGTACCTCGTCTCGGTAAGGATGAAGAGACCCATTTTTCCTTCTTTTATGCTCGACGTGACTGCAGTCGGGTGTCACTACTCCTTTCGAGCTAAGATTTCGCGGTGTGGGAAGACGCGATGGTTGTCGGTGCTGGTCAATTGTGCGCCGGCGTAGCTCCCATCGAATATTTTTTTGCCAAGCATTACGATGAGCTAACGCCGAAAGCGTGCAAGTGCGCCAGCGCGTCGATGAACGAATAAGGGTCTCACCAACTTCAGACCAAACAATCGCTGCGATGTATTGATGTCTGTGGAATTGTTCAGCCAACGAGGCTCATCACAATGTCTACTAGTAGTGAGCGCAAAGTGTCTGCGTCATTTGAGCGCTCTGTGAGAGGCACAACACCACGTCTCGCAGACCTAGCTTCCACCCCCGAGACGCCGCGAACACCACCCCAGCGAAACACGTCCTCGCTTTATGGCTCGCCTAGCGGCAACTACCGCACCGAAGACGAATATGTGGTGCTAGAGATTGGCTCACGATTCGTACGTGGAGGATTCCCTGGCGAAAGTGCCCCGCGATGCACCCTTCCATTTGATCCAGACAGACAGAGGCGGGTGGGTGATTACCGGCCATACGACCCAGAATACAGTCAGAAAAGACGGCGGCGGAGGAAAGGTCAGGCGTGGGGCGAGGACCAGGAGCTGTACCGCTTGGATCTGACTAAGGTCGACGTGGATCTGGTGGGTGACAAGTTCGAGCGGGCCATCAGAGAGGCGTACACGAAGTACTTCTTACTAGACTCTAAGCCACGACGCATCACACTCGCCCTGCCACCACGGTTACCGCATGTGCTTATGTCGAAGTTCCTCGATATTCTCTTCAAGAGTTTCCACGCACCAAGCATCACCCTGATGTCCAACCCCGTTCTCTCGACCGTCGCCGCTGGACTACGCTCAGCACTGGTTGTTGATATTGGTTGGGCGGAGACATTGGTTACGGCAGTCTGCGAGTATCGAGAGGTGCATGAGAAGCGGTCACTGCGAGCAGGCAGGTGGATGAGCGAGGAGATGGCTACTGTGCTGAACGCCGCGCTCGACGAAGACGCTGCGCCAGGCACTCCGAAGGCAGATATCTCGTTTGAGGAGACGGAAGAAGTTATGACACGTGTTGGCTGGTGCAAACCTATCTCAAGAGGGAACCGAAGGACCGTGTACTTCCCTGCACGTGAGGCGCCGGTGCTGGAAGAGTGGGAGGACGCTGTCGAAACGCCTCCACCTACCGTCACGATTCCGTTCTACAAGCACACTCCGCCGACCGAGCTGAAGGTGGCGCTTGCTTCGCTGGCTAAGCCGGCCGAGAGCACGTTCTTCGAACAAGAAGCACCACCGGACAAGTTCGACGACGACGAGCTGCCTATCACGCTCCTGATCTACCGTACGCTAATGGCAGTACCATTCGACGTTCGCCGTCTGTGCATGTCGCGCATCCTCATCACTGGTGGTGTCGCAAATATGCCTGGCCTGAAGACACGCATACTGCAAGAGCTGGACCTGCTGGTTCACTTACGAGGCTGGACCCCGATTAGGAACTGGGGAAGCTTCCCTGTGCTCCGCGAGGACAAACTGCGGGCCCAACAGCGCGAATCAGAGGCGAGACGGCAAGAAAGCCTACAGAAGGTGTCAGACTCGACTGCAGCGGCTCCTCCAACACCAGCTGGCCTGCAAGACCCAGAGATCGACAACATCGACATTAAGCTCGCCAATACCAGCCTCAAGAACGGACCACCACTCGAGTGCGCGACTGGAGGCACGGTCAGAGGTGTGCAGACGCTGGGTGCTTGGGCTGGAGCCAGCCTCGTCACTAACCAGAGAATACGTGGCATCGTTGAGATCGAGCGAGAACGATATCTACAGCACGGGCTGCAAGGTGCGTCAAGGGACAAAGAGGTCTCTGTGATTCCTCAACGACAGAGCATGGGGCCCGGCGTGGCACGTGGCGCAGGCGAGCGAGTGAGCTGGACGCTCGGAGTGTGGGCTTGAAATGCGCTTACTAGGGGACCCTCCATCACTCGAAAGATCAAGAGCATGATAACCAGCGGGCGTTCGCTTCGTGTTTCCAAAAACCGATATCCAATTTCAAAGCACCACGACAAACAGCAAATATTCACTGACCTGCGCAATAGCTCCTTGCTCATCTCCCGTCTTCGATTTCAGGACTATTATGCTTCGAGGACCAAGTGCACACGATCGCGACGGTCGGGGTATAGTGTTACAAAAGCACGCACAACATAGTGCAGCAGACTGTTCGTGGATGGGTACCTTGAAACTTGACCTCCCACAGTCTGCGAGAAGCACAGTCGTGACGAACGTGCGTCCGCACGCTGTTGTGTGCGTCAATCTACCTTCGCGACGCGTCGCTTCTCATCCACCGACGCGAGTTGCACCAAGAGCACTACTCTTCAATTACTTGATCCTAGCCTGCTCTCACTATGAAATGGCCATCCTGGACCCAGTTCAGCTTTTTCGCGACGTTGTTGGCCAACTCAGCGCTCAATACCAGGAGAACTTCGGCACTTAAATAGCGCAAGCTCTGGTCTTGAACGAGCTGCACCGGAACCGAACGGCATGGACCATACCATCGAACCCATTTGCCTTGAACTTGGTCCATCGGTAATGATCCAGTCGATCAATCACGATGGCAACACTCGAGCCCTCGGGCAGGTGACTTAGCAAGGCCTTTCGAGAGCCCCACCATCTCTCCAATAGGTTCAGGGGATTCGGCTTCGTTTCAGCCTGAGGTGTCAAACTTGGACATGATCTTCTCCTGTTGCTCCATGAGATCCTCGGGTAAAGTTTGCGCAAGATCAAAATCTCCAGTCGAGGGCAGGCGTACCCAAGCTTTGCTCATACGTCGGCTACAAGTTCCTCGCGCTCGGCTTCCCTCACAGCGACTGTGGTCAGTATCATGACTGTACCGTATGCCAACCCATCGAACTGCTGATCAACGGCTTTCGCCATCTCCGGCAATACCTGAAAAGTTTTGCAGGAAGTTTCCAGCATTCGTCAGTACTCTTTGTGTATCCGCCCCCATTCTCCGGACACCACTAGATTCTCACTCTATGCTCAAAATTTTTAGAGCATCAAATGTATTTGCCATGCTTTTCTGAGCCGATGTATGTGTTCTCGCGTGATCTTCCATCAAGCTCTGGATCTTCTTACTTGCAAGTTCAAGAGAGTAGTCATACACGTCGCATTGGTCCTACTCCGACTCCTGCCCACCGTCGCTGTTCGCGGTTACTAGGGTAAACACAGAAGCGCTTAGTCTTCCTTTCCGAGATCCAGTTCTCGCAGTGGGCATAGAAGCCTAGGTGATGTTAGTATGGTGGGGAAGTTGGGCTATTGAATCTCGCTCTTTGTCTGTGTCTTTGCGATTGAACTACCTGTGGAGTGATCTTCCGATTCTTTCCTTTTTTGCATCAGAGAGCTGAGTAACGATGCCAGGGGGTTTCTATCAAATGAAGAGAAGTTGATCTCCAAGTGATAGCGGGTGCTTCTGCGTACAATATGAGTTTCGTGAATCCTGTGGCTGCAGGCATGTGTCGATTGAGGTGCAGGCCGACTACAGACGCCAAGCCTTCCCACTGGGCGTCATTGGTAATAACAGCGAAATGTAAGTAGATGAAGCCACAAGTCGTCCAAGCCTTCCCCGTACACCCTTCTTGGAGGTGCTTGCGAATTGCAACCCTACTTCACCCTCTATTCCTGAGCGCATTCAGTATCTGACGGCTTATCACCTGCTGAAAATGTTGAACAGAGACTGGTCCCTAAAACTTTGGTCTGGCTCTTGAGCTCAACACTTACGCCTCCACTACAGCTTTACATGACTTTTCATAAAGATGAGTAGTGATCTCGATTGTTACCACTCTTGCTTCGTGTTTCGCACCTATTCCATGATAGTCCTACAAGCTTGAGTAAATCGAAAGCGTCATAACCATGCAGACATCAAGGCCTCGTGCTCGATCAGACGTCGAGATGGACCGGCTGGTAATGCCCAGCAGGTATCGTTGATGGCGGACGCAATAACTAAATGAAATAGCATGAGCGATTCTGGCGACTTGAAGCGCAAAATGCAAGCCGCGAGGACAGACTCGCACGTTACATGTCTCACGGGAGAATACCTTACTATGATAGGCCGTCATATCTGGATCAGAACCTATACTTTGAGCGAAGTTGAACCGGCTATTTCGACAGGCACAATGCGACCCACCCACCTCCACCACTAATGCATTTCTCGCCAGGGTACAGCAACATACCTTTTAGATCATCAGCGCCTCCGGTACGTTGTTGAAGCCAACACCAAGTCCAATTTTAATAATTGTTTGACTAAATTTTTAGCTTCAAATGAGTGAGCGGTGACCAATACTACAGCTGGTGACGACCAGAGCGTGACAGATCTGTTCCAGCATAGGATGCCGATGACTCTGGCGATGCTATTAAAGGAGGTAAGGAGAAATAAGAAAGCTGATGTAGTTGATGAGGACACAGCCGTCAATGGCGACCCAAAGCCTCTCCGCAAAAGTTGCATCAAGACTGTGATCAATCGGCTGTCTCAGACCCGGTACGTTCATGGTTTTACAGTGGAACGAATAATGAAGAATTCGCCGATGTCAATAGTACCTTTGATGCTGGCACAAGCGACGTCATGATCCCCACTACCTTTCGTTGCCATCTGAACAAGACTAATGAGAATAAGACTGATGACGAAGAAGTCAAAATAAACTCTCGTGAGCTCAAAGATCTGTTCGAGAGCACAGTTCTGTGGGAAGACATGGGAAGCGAATCGGATCAGTCTATGACCGTATAACCGTGAGCTTGCCGTTTTACGGGTTTGTGCAATATTGGGACGCGCAAAAAGAGTCCTGTAAGCGAAAGAATGTCGATTCTGAGGCTGTAAGATAAGCCAAAACTGACGTGCAGGATCTGATGGAACTAATCAAGGGCTCTGACAATCTGAAGTTCCACTCACAGTCTCGAGAAGAAATCAAAGGTTCAAAACGGATCAATTCCGAGTCCCTATGGGCATTATTGCCGCACAAGGCTCTCGCGTATGGCCATTCGTATATGAATCAAATGCAAATGTTTGGAGGCCGCTCCACCTCCGAGCTAAGCGCACCCTCCTGCCGACTACTGTGGATACCGACGTCTCAATGTGCTTCGATCCTACGGCCTAACCTTGGAGTGTGAGTTCCACCTCCTCAACCTTGCCATGCCTCCGCGCTCTCGCCCGCTTCTTCTGTCGCCTCCAGTACACCACGCTGAGGATCAACAAAATGCCGACAATGATTCCAACAAAAGACCCAATGATCGTGATTTGCTTGGTATTCCTGTGCTTGAGCCGCAAATCGTCTTTCCATTCTTGGACGGCGGAAGAAGAGCAGTTGCTGATCGCATACTTGTCCCAGTCAGAGTATTGGTAGCAGGTACCGTTTTTGGCGTCCCAGATCCAGTCTTTACCAAGGAGGCCCCAGTGGCACGATTCGTCAGACGTGTAGGGATGGGTGGAGCTATTCGTGCGCATCAGGGCCACTGATGTTGATAAGCTTCGAGTCAACGCGCTTCCGTCTCAGACCGCACCTGTACAGGTCCACCAATCGCCGTAGTCAGCGATCTTGAAGGCTGCTGCTGGCCTCTTCGAGGTCACGCTGGAACAATCTCTGTCGGGGTCTATTCTTCCATCCCAGATGCTATTTCCTTCGTCTTCCCCAAGGCAGTCCTTGTCTTGATAGCCGGTAAACTTGAGGGCGTTCACTCCTGACGCTATCCCAGCCAAAAAGAGGATGCTGTTGGAGTGCAACATTGAATTGAAGTGAGACATATGTGACAGCGCATCCCGATGAACTTAAGCAGGCCAACGGGGCAGTGCAGCATCGCAAACTCAATCGCGATGTCCTGGATAATGTGCATCTGACATTGTGCGTAGCCGAGCAGATCGAGGCGTCCCGCCTTGCGCTGAGCAGCCAGTAAGTTAGCGATCCCACAGCCCGAGCGACCGAATGAGGCAGCTGCTTGACCGCTTTCTTTACTTGCGGGACTCGAAACTGGGTTTGGGAACGCCATTATCGTATCTAGTGTCAAGACTGTCAAGTCGCCTTAGCATGCCAATCAAAGCTTGTGCTCGTGGTGCTGTCATCGTTCGAGGAGGATACTTCACTCATGAAGTTGACGTAGAAGAAAGATAAAATAAGCACGCTCCAACCTAGCTATGGTCGTGGTAATGTGGCTGCGGCTGCTGCCTCTGCGGCGCATAGTCCATGGTATTCGCCTTGCCAGGCTGATCCAGCAGCAGCCTGCCCTGCTCTTCACGATGCTGCACCTCCTTATCCTGCTGCATGAGATCGCACGACCCGCAGAAGCAAGCACAGAGGCAGTCCTTGCAGCCGTTTCCAGTCAGATTGTACTTCGCGCGGACGTCTCCTCGATTGATGAGCGGCAGAATCCAGGCAAAGCCCACGCAGAACAGTCCGGTGAATGTAGCGCACTGCCACGGTTAGTTGAGGGGTTAGGCTAGACGGGTCCACAACGTACACTCATGTTACAGCAGGAGTAGTCGTTCATGTCGCCATTGGATCTCATACGATGGCGCGTGCGTCCATAGAGGATGCAAGGGCACCACCATGAGAGGCAACCTAGGAACTGTGTGAGTATGACATATACGTATCCCAGCGATACTTACAGGTCCCGAACGGAGAGCAGCATGACGATCCCTTGTGGTGCCACTCTTGCTCTTGCATTGCGGCCATTTTGAACGATGTAGAGAACGTTAAGTCGATTAAAGAACGATCAATGCGTGACAAGAGGTAGGAAGTATATCCAGCACAGACGGACTACGGAGTCGCCTCGCAGACCAGCGGAGTCCGTGATATACAAGTCCGTAGGTCTAACAGGCACGTGGAGTTGCACCGAAGTCTCAGCGGATGTCAACAATGTGGCTGAGTAAGGCTCTTTCGTCGTCAACGCAGTAGGATCGAACCTGTGGAGATGACAGAAAATGCAAAGGCGCTCGTCAGCTTATGTATGTCGGTACCATTGGTACGCAGTACCGGTGAGCAGCTTGTCAGCAAGACAGTATCAGGCAATCACCAGTAGGCACGACTGAGCCGCAAGCACTGCGCAGTGCAACGTCTGTGTTGACGTTCGGGTACCGAATGCATGTTATGGAGGCGTTGTCCTGGCTTCGGCGCGCAACGTCCTGCAATCATCATCTGGATGCAACGAGCTGCACAGCGCCGCTGTTGTGAGTACGAGGCGCATTCGACCTGAAGTGTCGAAGAGCAGCAGTGGCCGTCCGGCGATCCCAAGTATAGGCCTCGAACTTAGTCTGCAAGCGTGCTAGTCCAAGGGGCTGTCCCGAGGTCACCGAGCCATTGGTCTCTCTCTCCACGAACACCACCTGCCGATCACTTTGCAACCTCTCCGACCCTCGTCACTCACTGTCGTTTTCTTGCGCTGTCCGTGTTTTGTAAATATGCGGTTTCTCTCCTTTCTCGGCCTTGCCATCGCTTTCGCTAGTGTGACCGCTGCTGAAGATGTTCCGCCACGTGCCGAGCTCAAGTATGATGAGACCGCAGACTGGTACAAACATCGCCTGATGCCCGTCCCGCCGGTCGCCTCTCCAGTCACCGTTATTGAGGAAAACAAAAGCTATGCTGTGAAGTTGGAGTGTCCGAATTGTCCTTTCTTCATTAAGAACGCAGTGCCGAAGGAGACGTGCTCATGGGAGGAGCTGGCTCCGTGTTCATGGCGGGAGCAGAGCAACGCGCTGGTACGTAGTGCTACGACGTGATCAGTGAGAACGCTGGCTGACTCTCAAAGCTCCTGAAGCTTGATGTTGAAAAGGCTGCAGCCGCAATCTCGACATTGCGTGTGAACGGCGCTTCAGTGCTGCCGCTCGGTCCGATGCCTCTCTTCGTCAACGCGTACCAAGTTGCCGACAACCTAACTCAGGAAGCTCTAGACAGCATCGTGCGAGCAGGCATGCTGGACTCTGACTTCAAGGGCGACACGGACTACTCGGTCACTCCTGCCTTGCAATACGAGCACACTCTCCTCAAGACCAAGACGCCTGGCGAGTGGTACGTTCAGCTGGATCTGACAGGGATGCAGTACGGCATGTATCCTGAGCCGCTGCACTTCGACCTCGACCGCAGACTCGTCCAGATTCTGGTCAAAGAGCAGAATATCGAGAACGAGGAAGGCCACTCGCTGTCCATCGAAGACATCCAGATCGTTGAGCGATCTCAACGCGCTCAGCCGATCAAGATGAAGTGCGGCAAGCTGGCCATGGTAAAAACCTCTTTCGATCCCAATGAGTGGGACAGGTACGGCAGGCTTGGCTCCTGGTCGCGATTCTGGAACATGGTTTCTGTTGAGATCGCGCAGTATTGGTCCGACAACATCCAGCACAATGCGCTCGCTCTGCCGCTGGCTCTGATGTTTGCGTTTGTCGTCTTCTTCGCCCGGATCTGGTTCCAGAGGCGGCAGCAGGACAAGACTATGGATGCTGAGTATGCTCTGCTGGACTGTGACCATGATGACCTGCCTCCAGCGTACGCAAACATCCCAATCATCAAGATTGAGGATTACGAATGAGCGTGAGTCCTTGAAGGGCGATGCCATGGCAGAAGGGCGGTCCTATCAGATTAGTCGATATTGACGAATTTAATACCCTGCTAATCCCTATATCCCTTGCCTGGATGCTTGACTGTGTAGACCGCATCCTGCGACTTCAAAACCTCAACTCGTACATCGCCTGGCAGGACCCAAAGAAATAGCCTCCACTATCATCATGAACACAACCATCGAACCCTACAATCCGGACTGGCCGGCCCACTTCTCGCAGATCCGAAACAACCTCGCCGCTCACCTCCAGCACATCCCAGGAACCGCATACTCGCACATAGGCAGCACATCCATCCACGGACTACCCGCACAACCCACCATCGACATCTTGCTCACCGTCCCGCCCGCAGACGTAGACAAAGTCAGCGCCGCACTCACCTCGAGCGGGGCGTACCGCGTCAAAGGAGGACCACACGGCACTGTACTCTGCGCACGCGGCGCAACTCACCAACACGCGCACACCGTGTATGCGTGCGCGGTCTACTCCCTCGCTGCACGCATCCACACGGCTATCCGGGACACGCTTCGCAGCGACATCGAGCTGCGTGACGAATACGCCGCGCGCAGGGTCGCCACTCTGAGCGCTGCAAAAGGCGCCGCCTTTGAACTCGAAGATGAAGATCGTCCTGCGTATGTGCGGGCGAAAAATGACGCACTGCAGGAACGCGTCATGGCTACTGCGCATTTCACGTCCGAGGAACTACCTGCCGTTTTCGGTTCGGGGCAAACGGCGCGCTGGGATCAGATACGCACGCCGCGGCTGCTGCTCCGGGAGTCTGAGATGAGCGATGTGGAGGGTATGTTTGCGCTTGAGGGCAGTGAGGAGAATGCGCGGTATCAGGACTGGGCTCCGTGGACGCATTCTCAAGCGCGGCAGAACGTTTTACGTGGCCTGCGGGAGAGTTACTCTGGGGACAGGAGGGTTGTGGAACTCGCTGTCGTCCACAAGGGGGTGTTTGTGGGGCGTGTCGGCGGGCGCGTGACGGCTCCGTCTTCCCTGGTCGATGGACTGGAGCACGCGAATGGTGCAGAAGCGACTCGTACAGAAGCACCTGAGACGTCAACCCCAAAGCACGTCGATCTGTGGTTCTCGCTGCTCCGCACCAGCCAGGGCTACGGCCTAGCAACCGAGGCCATGACAGCCTTTATCAGCACGCTCGTCGCACGAGAGAAGGTAGACAACGCCCCGCTGGAGCTGGAAATCGAGTGCGATCCACGCAACACGGGCTCGCGGAAGCTCGCAGCGCGCCTCGCCTTCTCGCAGCACAGTCTAACGCGGCGCGCGTGGGAGAGCAAGGGCGAGTGGGTGGACAGTCTCGTGTGTCGGAAGATGATAGATTAAGCACATCCTGTACGACGTCTAGGAGCACATCAATGCAACGCCAGGCTCGCTTCATATTGTACACTGCGTCGTGCGAGCCGCTAATCTACAATATTCATACACGTCTACAGCGAGATCTCGCCCTTCCAGGTCCCCTCTGTCAGGCCCAGGGTCTCGATGCAGTGCTGCCACCTCGGCCCACCGCGCTCCCGCCTCCGCAGGTACTGCAGCAGCTTCTGCCGCCTGTGGACCAGCAGGCGCAGGTTGCGCTTGTTGTGCTTGTCGCCCTTGCCGCGTGTGGCCAGGAAGTCGGCGACGGTCTTGATCTTGGCGGTCAGGATGGCGATCTGGACCTCTGACGAGCCCGTGTCGGGCCCGATGCGCTTCTTGGCGGCGGCCTCGTTGGTCTCCGGGCGCGGGGCGGGGGCGGTGTCCGAGTTGATGCGGTCGAGGTGCGGTGCGCGCGGCGGCAGGACCTTGTCGGTGTTGTGGCGGCCGAACGTTTCGACACAGCGGGTGGTGTTGACGCGCATGCGGTCCTTGCTGGAGCCATTCTCGAGGGCGGTGATGCGGGCAATGGCCTCGGCAGCGCGGGCGTGGTCCTGCTTGTTCTGCGCGTCCATGTCGTCGGCAGTTTTCTGGATGGGCCGCGCGCGGTTGTGGTGCATGTCGCTGCTCCACTGGAAGACGCCGGGCTTCGCGCCCCCGGCGTCCAGCTCGCTCAGCGGCACGGCCAGGCGCCTGCTCTGCTCGAGCTGGCTCGCGATGGCGGCGGGACCGAAGCGGTAGTTGAGCTGGGCGTCGGCGGACGAGGGCTGGGTCGGGGGCGCGGACGGGCGGCCCGTGTCGAACGACTGCACAAACGGCGTCTCGACGCCGCGGACGGGGTTGCCCAGGCTGTCGACGCGCGCCTGCTCGAGCTCGGCGCGGCGCGACAGGTTGGCGGCCTTCTTGCGGGCCTTCTGGGCGGCGACGTAGGGGTCATGCTCGAACCGCTGCTTGCGCTCCAGCGAGGTGAGCTTCTTCTGCAGCGCCGGCGACGTCGAGAAGGGGCGCAGCGGGAGCGCGACGGGTGCAATGGGCGAGAAGGGCGACGGCGAGCTCGCGGCCCGCAGGCACGATGCGACGGGGATCCGGGGCGGCATGGCTGGCCTCTATGGCCTCTCTGCTGCCGTCGTGTTCCTTCATCCTGCACCAGCAAAACTCGGCGTCGGAGGAACTGCACGCCGCGCCCGCTTTGCCTGATCGGGCGCTAGCGCTGCCCACACGCGAAATACTGTCCCTCCGCGAGACGACATCACGACAGCAGCAACATCCTCACCCACCGACAAGCAGCTGCCCGCGCGCCCAATACGTCAACATGGCCCCCTCCAACCTGCCCGCGATCTTCAACCCCACCCAGCAGGACATTGAGATGCTCCTCGCTGCCCAGTGCCACCTCGGCTCCAAGAACCTGCAGGTGCACATGGAGCCGTACCTGTGGAAGACCAGGGCTGACGGCGTCAACGTCCTGAACGTTGGCAAGACCTGGGAGAAGATTGTCTTGGCTGCGCGCATCATCGCCGCCATTGACAACCCGGCCGACAGTGCGTATGGCCTGCGAACTTTTGCACACGACGAGCCGATGCGAAAAGTTGGCGCACTCCTCCAAGACCGTCTGCTAACACGACACAGTCTGCGTCATCTCTGCCCGTCCCTACGGCCAGCGCGCCGTCCTCAAGTTCGCCGCCCACACCGGCGCCGTCGCCATCGCCGGTCGCTTCACCCCCGGTAACTTCACCAACTACATCACCCGCTCGTTCAAGGAGCCCCGCCTCATCATTGTCACCGACCCGCGCACCGACGCCCAGGCCATCAAGGAGGCCTCCTACGTCAACATCCCCGTCATCGTAAGCAACACAGACACTGCAGGCGCACTTGGTGGATGCTAACATGACCAGGCCCTCTGCGACGGCGACTCGCCCACTGAGTACGTCGACGTTGCCATCCCCACCAACAACAAGGGTCGCCACGCCATCGGTCTCGTCTGGTGGATGCTTGCCCGTGAGGTCCTCCGCCTCCGCGGCACCCTCGCTTCGCGCGAGGCCGAGTGGGACGTCATGACCGACTTGTACTTCTACCGCGACCCCGAGGCCGAGGAGAACAAGGACGCCACCGGCGTCGAGGAGGCCAAGGTCCCTGGCGCCGACGAGGTCGGCCCCGCCGCCGTCGAGGCTGGCTTCACCTCGGAGTGGGAGGTCTCGGGCGCCTCTGCTGGTGCCTTCACCTCCCAGGCCGCCGCCCCTGGCGCCTCCTGGGACGCCGATGCCTCTGACTGGGCCGCCGCCTCTGGCGAGGCCGCCCAGCAGACCGGCACCGAGGGCTGGGGCGCCGAGGCTGCCCCTGCCACCACCACCCAGTGGTAGACTTGTTCACCGCAACACCCTCATACCCTGTCATTGACAACTGCATGTCGGCGCACGGATGGATAGGCTCGGGAGAAAGGAAAAGCAAATGAGACCATTTACCGTTCAACTATGGAGTGTGTGAGGGGCAGGAACATGACCAATGCTATGCGCTGATGAGGGAAAGATATCCGGCTGCGCCTCGTATAGACAATGTATGTAGGAGCAGACGGGGGAAAGCCCTGTGCTGGCGGTCGGGTTGTTCTTGAGCTGACGCCCATTCCTGAATCACTTACCACAATTTTCTCGAACGCAACGTGATTGGTTGACGAGATGAGTGTTTCCCCACGTGATTTTGTGTTCAAGTCAGGCCCATGTAGTGCTGAACATCCGAACTCACCGAACGATGCCCCAAACGTCTAGTCTCTTCCTCAAATCCCGTTCCTGTCCTGTCGTTCCTGTCGTGTCGTTCCTGTCGTGTCGTTCCTGTCCTGTCGTTCCTGTCGTTTCATTCGTTCCTGTCGTTTCTGTCGTTTCTGTCGATCAAGTCGTGGCAGTCCACCCGGCTAAAATTAGCAAGGTGCGGCCCCACACGGGAGTGGACTAGACCGCGGACACGCGGACAACCCACGCTTCACACTGGCAGCGAACGCCCAGAGCGTCCAAGCCCTGCATTTCTATCCCTTGGACATTCTTCATCTTCACACTGCCACTTGTATCTGCTGGCTGTGACTCCTAAAGTGCCGCGCAGGAAACCGGAAACCGGACAGCAGAGCAGCGATAGCGGAGGCATGGCGTCCCCGATGGTCGACGGGCGGGTCGAACCGCACCGCAAGGCGACGTACACGCTGGACATCAGCGACCAGATCCGGCGGGAGGACAGGTCAGGGGGTGGATTCAGCGGCGTCAAATGTACATGCTATTTCTTGAACCTGCCTTGAACGCCTTGGACCTCGCGACGCGCATGCACAGCACCGACTGACGCTCTCGGCCAGACAACCACAAGCCGACGCTCTCGAGCGGCACCCGCACCACGAAGCTGAAACTCGCCGACAACAACACATACAACCTGTCCCTCGGCGACACGACCGAAAGCGGCGGCAAGGACGTGTTCGTCTTCAACGGCTCCCGCACGGCGCCGGCCAAGTCGTACGTCGTCCTCTTCGACCAGACCACGCAAAAGGCCACCCTCGAGCGCCTCACAGACACATACACACTGAATCTCGCCTCCAAGAACGGCGCCGACGTGTCATCGAGCCACAGCAAGATCTACCCGAAGAGGTTGCACAAAGACAGCGTGCACGACCGAGAGGAAGGGGAAGTGGACCTCTTCGGCCCCGAGGCGGGAGATGAAGCCAACGCAGGCACAGAGCCCGACGCCCGCAACCCCTACGACTTCCGGCATTTTCTCGCCGCGGCGCGGACAAAGGACGCCGCCGAAGAGCCCGGCTACGCGAGCAGTCCCGACCACCGCGCGCCGCCCACTGCAAGCAGCACGCCCGCGCCCGCGCCGCGCGCGCAGCCGCCGAAGAAGCGCAAAACCGCCTCCGTCTTCGCGGCCAGCAGACCGCCGGCAGCCCGACCCGTGCCCAAGAAACCCACGCCCAGCATCGCCCCGGAGCGGCGCGCACCGCAGGTCCCGCCGCCGAAAGCGCAGAGCAAGACCGCCGCCCCGGCACATGCAGGCAGCGGCAACGGGAGCGGAGGTAAAATCAAGAGCGCCGAGTTCGTGCACGACTCGGACTCGGACTCGGACGCGGACGTGGATGCAGAGGGCGAACCAGACTCGTCCGCGCCCTCGCCGCACGCACAGCAGCAGCCGCGGCGCTCACCCCTCCCAGGCCAGCGGCCCGACGACTCAGACGCCTTAGGCGATGACGACGATGACGACGACGACGACGACGACGACGACGACGATGGGGAACACGACGACGATGGGGAACACGACGGCGACGGCGACGACGGCGGCGGCCTCGAAATCCACATCCCCGACGCCCACGTCCAACCCCACCGCAACACATCGCACCCCCACCCCACCGCGTACAGCAGCAGTGCGCGCTCACCCTCGCACGGCCCCATCAGCCTCGCGAGCGCCGCGACCAGCGCACACAACACCCCCCGTCGCGGCACCGGCGCAGCAGCCGAGGAGATAGATTTCGGCGACCTGGAGGAGGAGGAGGAGGAAGACGACGACGACGATGAAGCGGCAAGGGTGCCCGCCCGACAGGGTCAGGAGGGCAGGAAGAGCGTCAGCGCTGCGGCTGCCGAGGTTGATGAGGATGATCCGCTGTACATGGAGATGATGGAGGGGCTTGCGGGTGGGGACAGCAGTGAGGAGAGCGAGGAGGAGTAGCGAGATGGATAGAGTGCGATGTGGTGGAGCTGCGGGCTTTTCTTGCTGGAGTCCGTGTACAGAGTGATTGATTAATGAGTACACGATCTACATGCTGCTGCCTATCATGCTATGCGAAGAGCACGGGCTTTCTTGTCAGAGTCCATGTATAAAGCGTTTGATCAACGAGCAGACAATCTACACGCTGCCGTCTGTCGTGCTATGTAAAGAATACGGGGTATATGTACCAGCCTCCCATGCCACCATTACCTCCATCGAAAACTCCAGAATTCTCTCCATATAACCTCAATCTTACATCCACGCAAACACAGCCATGACGGCCACCAGCGCCGCTCCGGCACCCGTGAGCTCACGGCTCAGACCATCCGAGGCTGCGCCCGTGCTGCTCGCGCTCGCCTGGGCGCTGCCGCTCGCAGTACCACTCGGCTTCGACGAACCGCTTCGACTCGCGCTGCCCGTAGCAGCCTGCTCGTTGTACGTCTGTCCCAGCGTAGGCAGCGCAGCAGTGGGGTTCACGTCCCACACGCCGCTCGTCTGGGCGGGGCACTCGGGCGCCGAGTTGGTCGGGCTGTACGCGCTTTCCTTGACACCCGTGGGGTTCAGCGTCTTCCAAACAGCAGCAAGGTTCGAGAAGTCAGGCTGGACAGGGGTCGGTGTGCCGGACCGCGGGTAGCCGTCTGGGGGTGCAGAGGGGCTCGCGGGGTCGACCTTGGAGCCGTACGAGACGAGGCCGTAGTCGTTGGACTCCTCGATCCACTCGTAGATGATGCTGCCGGACCATGTGTCTGCCATGTCGCCGTAGAGGGCGTTCTGGTCCTGGAACGTGCGGGGGCGCACGACGTTGCAGCCCGTCTCGGACATGAAGATGGGAATGTTGTACTCGGTCGAGTTGGCCTCAAGCATGCTGTAGCCCGACGTCTGGTAGCTGCTGTCGCCGCACCAAGAGTAGGCGTTCAGTGAGAAGAAGTCGAGCGACTCCGAGGCGTTGCTGCCGCAGGCTAGGTAGTTCTGCAGCATGGGGCGGAGCGTCGCAATGTCGGCGGCAGAGTAGCCGATGGGGATCTTGCGGTACTTCTTAGCGTCACGGTGGGCCTTGACGTCGCGCGCAGCAGCCTTGACGTAGGGCGCAGCAACCGAGCCGTTGGCGGTGGTGAGGACCTCGTTGCCGACGAAGAAGCCAGCGAGATTGTCGTACTGCTGGAACTCGTCCATGACAGCAGTGAAGGCATCAAGCTGGGTTGCGTTCCACTTGGGCGCAGTCTGCTCGATCTGTGTGGTGAACGTGTCCAGGTCCAGCCAGATGTAGATGCCCGCATCGGCGAAGGCGCTCATGCACTTGGTGTGGTCTTGCTTGGGGTCCACGTGGTAGACACGGATTGAGTTGGTGCCGATCGTCTTCATGAGCGCAGCATCGAGGCCGCACTGTGTCGCGTCGATGAGCGGGTCGTCGGGGACGAGCTGGTACGCAATGCCTGGTCTGTCAGTCGCTGTCCTCACCGACCGACCGAGATTGCTCACCCTTCACGTAGAACTGGTCGCCGTCAGAAGTGAAAAACTTCGACCCCTTGGCCGAGATGGTCGCAATGGCGTCGACAGCCACAGCGCCAGCGAAGGCGCACGCCGCAATTGAACGCAGCATGATCGGGTAGTGTGATGCGTTTCAGGTGGAAGCCGGCGATGAACGAAAGACAAGGCGCTGTGCAACAGACACAACAACCGGCAACGAGCGTAACGAGCGGCAGGGACAACCCAAACAATCGAGTGCAAGACGAAGAGCAGCGACAACGAGGAGAGAAAAATCACCAAGCTCGCAAGAAGGAAACTCCTCATCCAAATCGCGGAAGCCGCGACCGCTGCCGCTCCCTAGCTCCTCCAATCTGCCCAATCATCCTGATTCGGCAGTCCAGGCCATGCGAAACACCACAGAAGGCGGTTGATGATGGTGTTTGCGATAAAGAGGAGAGCCGTGCTCGCGCCCAGCCGGGCACGGTGCGGAGGTTGAGGAAGGTAATTGGCTGGACCGCGTTTTGCCGAAATAAGCTTGCCTGATGCGCAGTCAAGCACACGACGGCGCCGTCTTAGCGGCTGCTTCCTGCGGCTTGACAGCTGGCGCCTCAACACGGACGCATGGTTGAGCGATTAGACGTTTTCATGTCTGAATTCTTGCACGCAATCTTCCCGTTCGACCTCTGGTCTCGAAGACTTGCACGCACGACAGAACTCGTAACTTCTCTGGTTCCTATACCCTACATAAAACCGCGACTGGATATTCACAGACCTGTAGGGGGCGGCTTGGGGATCTACTTAAGCGTCTGAGGCCTCAAGTACGCAGTCGGAGGCTGCAGGATCGCGGAGCGACGACTTCGCCTCGCTATTGATACCGTTGCGACAAAGGAGCGTAAGGATTTACGAAGCAGGTGGAAGACCTACCAGAAGAGCAGGGCCCATCTGCGACAACTACTGCAATAAGTGTTCTGCTCACACAATCAAATCCGAGCAAGGCACCGACTCTTTCGTCAAGATACAATGCCTAAAAGGTAGGCTGCCGGTATGACCATCCCCTTATATGGCCCGACATCGATGTGATTGAAAAGGGGGCAATTGAATTTAAGGAAGTGATATTGGATTGCTGATCCAAGGTTTGTATGGGTTCGAACACCTTCAGCAGTTCCAGGTAAGTTGAAGGAGCCCGTCTGTTAAAGCAACAGAGCTGCGGTCCTTGGCGGACATGTCGGTGTGTATCTGTGCGTTATAATGCTGACTTGGTTTCAGTCGATCACAATGGGGCATTGGTCTCGACTCTCGGACGCAGGCTGCCAACGATGCTGGACCGGACGTTTCCGAAGAGAATCTCAATTTCGACTCAACCACAAAAACTTTCATGTCAAACAGCCGACAGCCCACATGGAGCCAGCAGACTAGAACGACATTGTCCGACCTGTATCTCCCACGATCATATCTGATCTTCCGCTGCAACACGCCTTTCCCTACTACTTCAAATGGTTTGGGAAGCTTCTTGAGACCAGTGACCGTGCGATAGCCTCAAATGACCGACACGCTCTTCTGCTGTGGCTGAAGACAGCTTCTGGCAACGCCTTCCGCTAGACCACTGAATGGCCTAAGCACAGCACGCAAGACCTGCCTAACATGAATGTAACCGTCAGAGTTCAACGGTTCGAATCAGTGTTTCATGGTGCCTAAATCGGGTGCTTTCCTGTGACTTGGCAGTGGAGCCGAGGTTCTGCTCTCACATCAGGATTCAGGACGACTTCGAGGCGCGACGCAGCAGACTGAAACGCGAGATTTTGACGCCATGATCTTTAGGTACTTCGAGCTCTCAGGATAGTCTGATCGCAGAGTTTCGATGTCTGGTGAGTCCCGATGAAGCCCAGTACGACCTGTCCAGACCTGGAAAGGCATATTCATGGCCGCGTGCGACTTATTGTCTTCCATCTTGACATGCGTCTGCCACTTGACAGCGGAGATGAAAGTATGAGCCAGGACTCCTATGGCCAGACCTGGCAGAGGAAGTCCTCGAAAGGTGAGCGTGTCTGGACTCTGGGCCCAGGCCAAGCCATAGGAAGTGATTACATCAGGAAATGCACTAGAGCTTCACCACGACGACGGAGATGTTCTTAGCTCCATGTTTGGACGAGTGCCAGGACTCCAGACTAGTTGGGTCTCTGAACGGGTCTGTGCTCGTAGAGGATCCCAGCACTGCACGCGAAGACCTTCGGCAGTCGGTCGAAAAGGACCGACCATGGCCTATGAGCTGCTGATCAGTTGTCGTGGACTCGCTCACCCGAGCCAAACCTTCTCAAAGTACACTCGACCTTGCATAGACTGCTCCCTTCCGCCTTTGAATGTCTGTGACACCTCATTTCCCGGTCGTTCCCTACATCGAAATTACTTCCTATTTCGCTCCACGTTTCCGATCGCGCTCCTTATACAGGAACTCGAACTTGGGTGGCCTTCAGGTGATCTGGGGTGTGCATGACAGTGGCTGATCTTTCGGTCTGTGTCGAAAATCTCTACCCACTGTGGGTCACTGATGACAGTCCAAGCCAGAAGACAACGAGCTGTCGACAGATCTGAGCTTTTTTAACATCGAGACACGATCTTCAGCATCGTCTCCAGCGACAATTCGCCCCGGCGTGTGTCGGGGAGCATGGACTGAATCTCAAGGCACTCAACGAGTTTCATAGGTACTTCCATCCCACAGAGATGGCGCATTGCGGCGGTGGGCCCGGGGTGAGCTTCACTGAAAATTAGCGACGGACCACAGCGAGCCCGAGGAAAACGTTCTTACGGCCATCGTGAGATATGTAGAAAGGGGCATCGTGCAGGAGATCATTATCAGACTGTGTCTTCATGACCTCCGTTGTTGTCAGTAAATGTTCGATCACTTGGTGATGTCTCATGAGCCTCGACGAAGATTGTGGCGCAGTATCAAACACTAGGAGATTGCCACAGCCTGTTACATTCACATGTCACATCTGACTACTGGAGGGCCTGAAGTCCTGACCAGCTTCATTGAGACCGACAGACGGCCTGATCCGGTAGGATGGTAGGATGGAAGACCAGCGAACGCAAGCATGGGTCTGTGCACGTCATGGATGGAAAGCGCAAACACGACGCCGACCTCTGGATCTGCACGTTGCAGCTGTTGACCATCCCAGTATCGCCCTCACGACTACACGATATTTTAACATTTTTGAGGCGCTGGTGGCACGGCTAAGACGACGTGAAGAGTCTATGCATCGCCACGCCTGCCATGCATTACGCAGCCGTTTGTGCCGCTATCGCTCAAGCTTCACCTCTTCAGGCTGCTCCTACAGCCCGCGGTACGTTCCACCGGCGCAGTGGGTGTGACTGTGAGGCAGCATGAGCGTCAGCGTGTGGTGCCGCAACATCGGCCGACGCCGCGATTCCTCCGCAATTTATTTTCATTCGACCGAGCAGTGAGAGCCAGCGGTCCAGCCTCGAGTGTTCTGTGCTCATCGGCTGGGACTGACCGGAAAGTCTCACATCTCAATCACTCATCAGAAATGGATGTGAAGAGCCTCCGCTCGGCGCAATGCTAAGATCGGAAGCGTGGCCAGAGTCAGGCCCTGACCATCAACTATCAATCCTTCGGCCACCCGCGAGGATGCTCAGCTTCCGAGTTTGTGCAACGGCGCGAACATGCATGAAGCCTGCTCGAGACAGTTTGGCATTTCAATAATTGTTGGCCAACACCAACACTCGTCGATGGGGATGCCTCGCCCGTCGCATTTCGGCCTCGAAGATTCACATCGCGTCTTTCAGCCGCAGTCTGGTGGCTGAAGACATCCGGCTCAGAATTGAGGCCAACAGGTGGCCCCGCGGGATCGAGACGCCTCGCCACAGGACACAGCGCAGATGTGATTGGCAAGGTCAACGAAAATTCGTCTCCACTGCACAACACGCGCAAAGTCTTATCATCGCTGCGACGCGGACGACCCTGGCCCCACCCTCACATGGCAGGCCGTTTTCGGGGCCAACAGCCACTGCACGGGGTAAAGGGCCCTCCAACGCCGCGCGCCATGCCTGCGAGCCTAGAACCAGAGTCCCGGTGATTGGTTATGAGCCGGCGCAAGCGAACAGCCATACACTCGTGCCATGCCGCTTGCCCCAAGCAGAGTCGTCCCGCAGGGCAGATGGGAAACTGTACAACAATTAAATAAGTGGCCGACGAATACGGAGCTGGCCCCGCCGACGCCTGAAGGCGCTGTCTTACCTCCTCAAGTTTAACAAGTGACCTCTCGTGCCATCTCAACCCTCACACCTCCTCTCGCACTCCCAGCAATGAACAGCAGCGTGCGACAATTACCAGTTTCCTCGCGAACAGGGTTCTTTACCAAGGATTCACCTTCAAGACATTGACACTTGGACCTCGGCACTGTTGCCGCACCACACCATGAGTGCGAGGACGCTAACGAACGTGGTCAATGAGCAAACGACAACGCTAAATGCCCTGATATATGGCTATGCAGGCCATTCGCTTGTCACACCTCACGCTGCGCTGCAACAAATTTGGTGGACCGACGAGAGAATAAACGAAAAGGTCACACAAGACTTCGTGGCTTCGCGACTGCAGCCACGAGAACGTGAGCGCCTGACACAGCCCGTGGGCTTCGGCGACCTATCAGACGACACATACATCGAATGGATTATAGAAAAGGCGCGCCGGTTGTTCCTCGTACTGGCCGAGATTGGAGAAGCGGATGGCATTTTCGCCGTGGTCGATCGGTCATGGGACGATAATGACCTGCCGCTTGAGATGGACGACATCGAACAACTGGCGCTCTCGAACAGACGCGACGCACATGCCAGTGCGCGCTTCTACTCCACGCAGTTTACATTTCTGCTCCGGGAACTTCAAAACGGTGTACACATAGACTACGCACCGAATGAAGAAGTGCCTCTGGAGTATGTCATGGGCCTGCCGCCTGCAGCCAGCCTTCAAAACTGGTCGCGTGTGCACCTGCCGAAGAGGCCAAAGGAGGTCTATGTTCGGAGAAAGTTCGCTTTGGGAAACGGCGAGTCGCCGACGGCATTCGAGTCGACCTTTATCATGGATGTTGAGAGCGCTCGAATGGTTGAGCACGAACACATTGCGCCAGTCTGGGCCTCGTACACGGCGAAAGGGACCGGTTACGTTGTGACGAACTTTGTGGGACAACACACCCTTCGATCCTTCATTGACCACCGGGATCCAGCACAGTACAGGAAGCTACCCAAGCCGGAGAGGAGATGGCTCGTCCTGAACTGGATGCACTGCTTAGTAGACGCGATTGCGACAATGCACCAGAATGGATTCTGCCACTCCACGATACGGCCGTCTAATATCGTCATTGATGAGAGCAACACAATCGCATTCAGTGATATTGGCTGCCTGGAGACGTTTCAGCGGGACAAGAGGCCAGACGTGACGGACGCATACATCTACAGCGCACCTGAAACGCAAGTCATGCCTGCATCGTTCGATCCAAGTGCTCCAGCGCCATCTCCCGTCGTAGCAAGCACTCGGCATGCCTCCGTTGCGAGCAAAAGCTCGAACGAATCATCGAGTAGCGGCGGATCCTTGGGGCGAAAGCTCTCGAAAGCTCCTACCAACGACTTCAGCGGGTTCAACTTTGGCTTCCGGAGGACGAAACCGAAGGCAAAACCGCGATCCCGAGTGCATGAGACAGAAAAGGCGGATATCTTCTCATTGGGTTGCGTCTTCTTGGAGATCATCAGCTTTATGTTGAAGAAGAAGCCCCACGAGTTCGTCAAGCATCGTACATCAAAGCAAAGGACGAACACCGGTGGTAGCAAGAGCCGCACAGACTCTTCTTTCCACGCCAACTTGGAAAAGATTGAGAGCTGGATGACTGTGCTCGAGAAGGCGTCGTGCGAGCATGACGACGATGCGTTCCGTGCCATTCCACACATTCTGACGCTGGTCAGGAGTATGCTCAACACGACGCCAAACGCTCGGCCCAATGCTCGCAATGTCCGCGACAAGCTTGTGGAGATCTTGAGCGCTCACACTACCATTCCAGACATCCACTGTGGCGCGCACAATCATGACTTTGGGCGCGCTGGGTCGTCCACTTCTGGCTCCGATCGAGCCTCCAGTGTGACTTCGCTACGGACGATGTCGACGATCAGCTCGGCATCCGACGCAGATACCATTCGACTGTCCACGTCTTCGATGACCCGTATGAACTCCATCGTCAACTCTTACTCGGAACGTATGACTCTGGCTGGGATCTCCGAGGACGACAGCGCTTCGATTCGCACGGTCGAGCCCCCACTACCTACCTCGTACAACCCTACGCCACACCTGCCTCCTTTGGTCAGTGGTCGAACAGCCCTGCCCACGCCAATAAGTGTGCCAAGCTCCCCGCGATCTGCGGAGCGAGCTTCGAGCCCATCAAGACTGAGCTCTGTTCAGAAGAAGTCTTGGAAAGGGCCATTCTTCCGCATGCCCTGAGGTTCCATGGATAACGAGCCAAACCGCAAGCAATGTATGATAAGTAACGCTTTCGCTGCAATCACCTACCATGATCCTTGAATGAGCGTTGAGGATGAGAAGTCAGGCCGCCAGCGTTGCAGCAGGAGCTTCCTCAAAGTGCTGATGCCACGTCACATCCAGCCATGCTGGAGGGAAGCCGCATACCCACGCTATCGAAACGAACGACAGGCTTGGCGCGCCGTCGTCGACAGCCGCGTGATTGAAGATGGAACAGGAAGCTCTCGGGTGAGCGACAGATGCAACAGAGAACAGAGCACGAGCAAGCGCTGAACTATATACCCAAGCTCCTGCTCCTACATACGTGCCTGAGCACCGGCTTGGTAGAAGGCCAGCCTGCTATATCACAGAATGCATGGCTATAGTAATATGATTTTGTGTTGTCCTTCCGTATGCAGGAAGCTCATTACCGCATTGAACGCCAACCTTGGAAACCTTGATTTTGACTGCATGTGCCTGTTGAAGAGTTTGCGGGTAACCCTGATCAGAGTGCGAGTAAGCTCTCGAGTTTCCTTGCACGCGAGTCTGTCAAGAACGGCCGTTGAGATTCCAGAACGAATCCTCAACGCCAGCGCACGCGTCACACCACAGAACATTGTGAGGACGACGTCAAGACACATCAGAGACACCACTTCAATCCATCGGTACTGCGTCATGCCGCGATTCAAGACCAATGCATGCCAATGCAGCTTGCCTACTCACGAGGTCGACGATGTTCGTTCAAGCAAGGGCTTTCAAGCCGGCGCGTGCGGGGGGCCCCAAACTTCCACCAGATCGGCGCCTTGGCCGCTGCTCATTCGGCGCCCTCATCTGACCCCACCAACGTTGCTGCATCACGATGCCAGCCACCTCACTTCTCTCATTCTGACAGGATGACCTGGATTAAACTGCGGGTGGCTGTTGCGATGAGTGGGTGAGCGCAGTCGTCTGCAGGTACCTCGCGCGCGAGACGTCAGCCGCCAGCGACATCCGAGTATAGAAATGCCGCTTCTAAACTCTTTCTTGAAAATATCGGGACTGTCGTGATCGACAAAGGCATGCAGTCACCCCGTTTGGTCCCGCCGCTAACCCAGGCCAAGCTGCCGGCATGCAACCACTACAGGTACCAGGGGCTTGATGTTGTCATAAGTATGCAGATAAAGTACCATAAATACTTGGAAGAGCCCTCACTCACTCCGTGAAAGCGGAGGCCTCTGCACCGGTCGAACCAACACCACAATGCGCGCCCTCAGAGCTTTCTCGACGATATTGGCTTCGGCTTCAATTGTTGCAAGTGCCATCTTACCACGCCAAGGCAACAGTACCGGGTACCAGCTGCAGACAGGACCTCTCGATACGCCCTGGACCGCAGATGTCGGGACAAATCCGTGGCCCGAGCATCCCCGGCCCAGAGTCGAGCGCGCGCAATGGAAGAACCTGAATGGGGTATGGCGCTGGAGGAGCGTGACAGCTGGGCAAGTCGAGTTTCCGCCCACAGGGCAGATCCTTGAGCGTTCAGTGTTGATCCCGTCATGTCTCGAGAGCGCATTGTCTGGTACGCCTGTGTGCTACGTCTACCGAGAACGGGACCCTGACCAGCGGTAGGAATCATGGAGAGAGGACACCTATACAGCTGGTTCCAGACATCATTCGACGTTCCATCAGATTGGCCGACTGGAAATCGTGTGTTGATTAACTTTGGAGCTGTTGACTATGAAGCGACAGTCTTCGTCAACGGCAAAAGAGTAGGCTTCCACAGAGGCGGCTACTTCGAATTTACCTTCGATGTGACCGACTACCTCTCGATGAATGGCACGAACGAGCTGTGAGTCGCCCGCGTGGCGCTGCAATTTCCACGCTGACATTTGATTCACAGACTGGTGCATGTTTTCGACCCGACAGATACCGGAAGGTATCAGATCCCCATCGGCAAGCAGACTCTGACCCGCGGGGGCATGATCTGGTACACGCCCTGTACCGGAATCTGGCAGACTGTGTGGCTGGAGTCAACTCCTGCTGTGTACATCACAAAGCTGGATCTCGCTGCTGGCGCAGACGGCAACGGTATGTGTAATTGTGCCAACATGGGATTGGTAGCTAACCTCTCGTAGTGAACGTGACAGTGCACAGTAGCACGAATAGTTTCAGCACTTATGAGATCACTGTACATGAGCTTGGATCAGACATAGCGAAGGCCACAGCTTTATGTATCAGCGGCAGCCCCTGCATCTTCAAAGTTAGATCCCCAGATCTTTGGACCCCTGACTCACCAACACTCTACAACATCACCGTCACGCATGGAAGCGACTCGATCTCATCTTACTCGGGCTTTAGGACCATCTCAAGGGGAGTGATTGACGGTGTTGAGAGACCGCTCCTTAACGGCAGGTTCGAGTTTTTTTGGAGCCCGCTCGATCAAGGCTTCTGGCCCGATGGGATATACACCCCTCCGACGGTAGAGGCCATGCGCTACGACTTGGAGAAGCTCAAGGAGGTTGGCTTCAATGCCATTCGTAAGCACATCAAGGTCGAGCCGGCCCTGTACTACAAGGCTGCCGATGAGCTGGGTTTCCTGGTCATCCAGGACATGCCCTCTCTGCGCCCAGACCTGCCAGATCCGAACAATTCGTGCGGCTCCGTTCGACTCGAAGGCCCTGACGCGCAGGCAGAGTTCAATAGGCAACTTGGCCTTCTTGTCGAGCAGCTGAAGAGCTACACGAGCATCTTCGCGTGGACCATCTACAACGAAGAGTGGGGCCAGGCTACCAAGCCCCCATTTCCAGAGTTCCCACTCACAGACCTTGTACGCTCTCTCGATCCAACGCGTCTAGTCAATGCAGTGAGTGGCTGGACTGATCACACAGCCGGTGACTTCGACGACAACCACCATTATTCGACACCGCAGTGTGGCTCGCCCTTCTGGTCAGTGCAGGGCTCTGGTCCCTCTGGCTACAACTCGGCGTACGACCCTAGCCGTATCGGCCTGCAGGGCGAGTTTGGCGGCGTTGGACAGCAGCTGCCGTTTGAGCATGCATGGTTCGACGACCTTGCCAGGCAGACAGCGTACGAGTTGACAAACACCACCGAGGAGTGGAACTACCGATGCATCCAGAACATCGTCCAGCTTCGGGAGCAGATTGAGCGGTACGCATGCTCAGGCGGTGTGTGGACGCAGACCACCGATGTGGAAGGTGAAGTCAACGGGTTAATGTCGTATGATCGAAGGATCAATCGTATGGACAAGGGATTGTGGAGCAGTACGATCCAATCGCTTTATGACGCTGCGGCGAAGCGAGGGAACGGGTCTATGGCGATCACGGGACGAGGTGCTGGGCTGGACGGGTTGCAGGAGGTTTTTACATGAGGCAAGCTATAGACATCCAGGGTTTCTGAAGTTTTTGTGGAACGTACTGTAAGTGAATGCCAAATCGACCATGGTTTTTGGACACATTTGCCTTTGTATGCACATGTGACTTTCCTTATCTATTTTGTGTAAAGTGAGCAGCAAAGCAGAGATCCACTTACCGGGCAAGGCTTTCCCAGAAATGTACCATATCCAGTGGCAGAGACGGTTGTGGAGGGTAGGACTGTGCTGTAAGCCCATACTGGAAACAACACATACTATGGACTAGTTTCAATCCTGATGGCCCGACTAATCCTCCAATCCTCACCCAGACTGCCCTCCTTATGCTTCTCCATTTGCATCGCCCGCCACTCTCCCTCCAACATGCCCAACACGACCTGATCCCAGAACCGTCCTTCGTGCCAGAGCGCCTCCCTCTCCCTCCCCTCGACCTTGAACCCCACTTTCTCATAAAATCTCAGCGCACCTGTGTTCCATTCGAAAGCCGTGATCTTCACTCTATGCAGCCCCGCACGGCGAAACGCATAGTACAGCGCCCACTCGATGGCCTCACGCCCATACCCTTTGCCTTGGAACCATGGCAGGATGTCAATTCCAATCTCCGTCGACCTGTGATGTATAGCGTTCGCCGGCAGCTTGCTCAAATGGATCTCCCCAATCGCTGTGCCCCACTAGCTCTTCAGCTCGCCACCCGGCGGGCCGTTGTTGGCCATGTCTTCCTGCTTTTTCGATCTCGGCGTGTCTTTAAGCCAGATCGTTGTACCGAGCAGCGTATCTTCGGCGAGGAACTTCAAGAATTTTTTCGTGCCGCTGAGGGACTGAAGCGAGGTGTTATTGAAGCTGCTGTTCATGAAGCCTGTATGGTCGTCACCCATTGCGGTGAAGAGGGCGAGATCTTCCGGTTGTTGGACCGCGCGCAAGGCGAGGCGGGGTGTGTCAAAGGGTCTGAGCGGATTGGGAATCAGGGAGGGGTCTGGTATGACGGCCATCTTGATGGTCTGTATGGTCCTTGGACCTGTGATCTGTCGAGGCACAGAATCGTTGATTGCGATGTTCGGTCTCTTAGCTGACAGCGGGGAGGCTTGTGATCGACCCCTCTTCGTCCTCCTCTTCTCGATCACTGCAGGGGATGATTTGTGGATGCGGGAGCGTGTAGGCGTTTATAAAGATACAGCAGCTCATCTTCGATCCGCCTTGCGCCTTTTTGGTGCAATACGAGTCATGTGCGTGAAGCCATCGGGCGGGCTGCTAGGTACATGCAGATCCTACGCTCGCTACCGGTACTTGCTGACAGTGTTCCTCGATAAGGTCGCAGCATAGGATCTGACACATTCTACGACCATCAGAGAAGGTGCACTCATGCATCTTCAACATCGTGTACTGTTGAGATACCATTTCTGGACGAAGCGCATCTGCATGTGCGGTGCTGACAAAGAATTCTCGCTCAGGTAATTTATAGCTGGACAAAAGAAGGTGCTTCCTTCCATGCGTCCTGCCATCGAACCTTCTCAGTCTACATCGATGCTGGTCCAAGATTACCTTGGTATTGTACCATGCTTCATTCTGCGTCATGGTGAAGCAGCTCTGCGGAACCATGCTTTCATCACCGAGCTTCACCTACAATTGCCTGATTAGTCCCTAGCGCGCGGAGTTCGGCGATGACATCAGAAAGAACAGTGTGTAGTCAGCCCCATTCAAACGTTTGCAAAGCTACCAAGAACGATAAAGAAGGCCAAGAGTCCATACAAAAGTATGCATACAGTCTTCACACGGCTGTGTTGGTGTTTCACATGTGCACCCAGCGGTGTGCAACCATGTCTGTCCGGAGTGCGCCCCAAGATCTTGAGAAGTATATCTCTGTTGCTCTTTGCAACTGCGATGATTGTCGTTATAAAAAGACTCACAATTCTGGAGAACCCATCTTGGCTCACGATTGCATTCTGAACCTCCACCATGTCTTGTCTGCCTTTGTTCTCATTTGGCCCTTCCAAATCTTCTGCATACAAGCCTTCTGATCGGTCAAAGCCAGACGCACAATGCCTCCCCTCCCGTCCAATGATGCCTGAAACTGCGCATTTGAACGAAGGCGTGTACGACAAGCTGGCACAGGTCTCGGTTTCTCATAGACGCCTAGATTCTTTCGAGTGGGTGTTGACTCAATCCGCCCCAAACACACCACCGACGTCGGACAGCACAAGCTCCAAAGCATTCTCGCCTCCGCCTGGAAGATTCATTACCTCTGCGCCACTGCCAGTACCTGATGAACTTTGGTCATACAGTCAACATGCTAAGGGTGGGAAGCAACAGCAAGGATATTTCGATTGGTGGCCATCTCCAAGTTTGGTCAATTGTAATGGTTATGCCATGATACCAGACGATGAAGAGCACTATGACCGGTATGCTTTAGCCGCACGCCAGTCGAATACAGACTCCTCTAGGTCACGCGCAATTGGGGTACGCACCTGTAAAGAGTCGCGCTCGCACGCCGCACCTGCTCTAGGAGGCAATGACCGACTTCGGCCGTCTCAGAATCTCAGCGCACTCGGGATTGTCTTGCCCGACAGTCCTCCGCCTAATCCACCCATGCCGAAAGTCTCGAAGACGTCGGAACCTCACGTCGCGCCCGGCACCTCTTCTCGCGCGTCACCATCGCGCCTACCAAAGCGTGTCACGTTTTCGCCAGTCATTGACGAGTTGACACTGGCGTCATTCTCAGATCTCAACGAGCAGAGCTCTTCCTCCTGGGGCAGCTATCTTCCATCCTCTTTCCTAGTTGCGAGAGCACCGCTGTCGCGTACGACCTCGTTACCACCGAAACAAGCGAACATAATTGTTCGACCGATCCTAAGGCGCTCGACTTCTTCCGATGCACAACCAACTAGAATCACAGAGATGGTTCAATTGCCACCCAGTGCGGGATGTAAGAACAAAGGGAACGTGACTTCGCCAATGCCAGCCCAGAGACTCTCGGTGTCGCAGTCGCCTATCATTGGAAACCCTCGCAGAGACTCAAGTGATAAGGAAAAAGTTTTTGTGTCACTACTGCACGCCTCACATATTGACGACAGCATGATTTTGCTCTAATGCGCCAAGCAATTGGGAGTAATTAGCCCTCATTCTAGATTGAACTTGTCAAGATTACTCATTGGTCACAATTCCTATTTCGCTTACGTGCACCTTCACAGTATTCCTCGCGAACTTTGAACATCAAGATCTAAATCAATACCAAGCAATCCCAACCCGCTGCTACACCTATCTCCACATGACCGAGTCCTCGTCCGCCATTTCGACCACCCAAAGTGGTCGCTGGTACTTTATCATTTGTGCTTTGTAGTGCGGGCATGTGTTGCAGATCTTCGCTGAGCTATTGACCCAAGCTTCCAGGCACTCGGCGTGAAAAGTGTCTGAGCATGTCACAGGGACAACGCAGCGTTGCGGATACGACTCACCTAGAATAATCACCTCCTGACAAATTATATAGAAGTCATCTGCATCGGGCTCTATTGTTCGCGTGAACTGACCAATGTCGATGCGTGGACCAAATGCTTCCACCTCAATGTCGTCGAGCGGTACCGGCTCATACTCATCCTCGTCATAACCGTACTCAAAGTCCGGATACATTGCATCATACTCCCCACCTGTCATCGTCGGAAGATGTGGGTAGAGATCCTCACACAGCCCGTTATAGATAGAAGGTTGTGGCCGTAGATCGTTGCCAAGGTCATCAATATAAATCACAGGGCTCTCGGCTAGCAGGCGGTATCCGTCATCTTCTGGCCCTGCGTCAAAGGCTTGCTCGAGCGTCTTCTCTCCAGAATTGCCAGTATACTCTATTCAGCGCAGGCCTGGCATTGTAACTGGGGCTATCGACTTTCACAATGCAGAAACATCCGGGATTGGCATAATCGCAAAGAATAGTGCACCCGTGCTGCCATGAATTTCAGTGTACGGTTCAAAACCTGATCAGTGATTGTAGTTCTCATACTTGGTGCTGTGCCCGAGCCCAGAAATTCACCCTGCGTTATAAACCACGGGAGCAGCCCTTACAACGCAGGGTAAATTAGGCAAGCAGTGAAGAGGCATCCAATTCTGGTAAAACGTACATCAATTTCGCAGCGCCGCTAGTATCACAAGAACCTTCTCATCTGCACACCAAATTTATTCGCTCCAGACACTACTGCCGCACCACGTTCTGATAACACCGCCATGGTCTCCGAAGCAGAAATTCAGTACTCATACGACTCGCACACCATAAAGAAGCCATGCTATCGGACCTGGACACAGAAGCCGATCTTATCACCGCATTGTCAACTTATATTCGCGACCTTGTTCAAACTTGGAAAATCAACGGTACTCGTGTTGATCTGATAGTATTTTCACTCGTGCGAGGCTGTATCCAGGATGTGGAGCGTCTTCAGCAGCACGGGATTCGCGTATCACTTTCACACAAAAATGCTGCTGTTGACGCCAGAAATGCCACACAGACTAGCAATATGTGTTGCTGCAGACGTAGCCGCTGTATAGTCGATGGAAACTGCGCTAAGTTGCTCGCTAGCTAGGAGGCGACCATATATACATGCCCTGAGACGTGCTAGTCCAAGGTAGTCAACAGAGATGACGACCAAGGCCTGTCGGACCGACTTGCACCGCAACAATAACGTGTTTTATAAGCGAGTCGTCAATACAAGCGAGTCGTCAGCCCCACCAACCTTGATCACCTCTTCCATCTCAACGTGCAATGGCTCCACGCTACGCTTCTCAAGCGCCTTTAAATGAAGCTGATATTCAGCTTGCTATTAATTCTATCGAAGCCCAGCAAATCAGGTCTGAAAGCCGCGCTGCTGTAGTCTATAATGTCCCTCGTATGACAATGCGCGACCGACGCGCTGGCAAGCCTGCACGACGCGATTGCCAACCCAACTTAAAGAAGCTTACTGAGCTAGAAGAGGAGGTAATTGTAGTCTATATACTTGATCTGGATCAACGTGGTTTTGCGCCTACGTACGCAGCAGTGCGTGATATGGCTAATAAGCTGCTGGCTGCGCGCGGTGTTGGTCACGTCGGCGTCCACTGGCCACGCAACTTTGTTAAGCGATCAGACAAGCTTACAACGCGTTTCAATCGAGCGTACGATAGGCAGAGAGCCTTGTGTGAGGATCCTGCCTTAATCAGCAGCTGGTTTGAGCTTGTAGAGGAGACAAAGGCGAAGTGGGGGATCTGTGATGATGACGTCTACAACTTTGACGAGGCTGGCTTTATGATGGGCAAGATCACGACTCAGCTTGTTGTGACAGGGTCAGAGAGGAGAGGCAGGCCAAAGGCTGTTCAGCCTGGCAATCGCGAGTGGGTGACAGTTATCGCTGCGATCAACGCTGCTGGCTGGACAATCCCACCCTTCCTCATCTTTGCTGGCCAATACCACTTGTCTGCCTGGTACGAGGAGGCAGAGATCCCACGCGACTGGGCGATCGCAGTCAGCGACAACGGCTGGACGAACAACGAGCTTGGAGTTGAGTGGCTGAAGCACTTCGACGCTCACACGAAGACTCGTAGCGTGGGTGCGCGTCGCCTGCTTGTCCTTGATGGCCATGAGAGCCACCACTCTCTTGAATTTCAAGAGCTTTGCAAGGAGAACAATATCTTCACGCTCTGTATGCCGCCTCACTCATCTCATCTGCTGCAGCCGCTTGACGTTGGCTGCTTCTCGCCGTTGAAGCGCGCGTACAGCCGTGAGATTGAGGCTCTGATCCGCCACCACATCAACCACATCACCAAGCTTGAATTCCTGCCAGCCTTTAAGGCAGCCTTTGATCGCACCTTCACGACAGCTAATATCTGCTCAGCCTTTC